TAAAAGGATTTAAATAACAGTTGAGTTTTGGGGTTTTTCTTACCTGGGCCGCGTTAGACTAGCAGAATTCTAGGTTGTCGTCATTGTTCTCTCCCCCACCCTCAAGTAAGACCTTTTATTTGTCGCCATTACAAGTCAGAATTTTCAACAGGGTCTTGAACTGGTGGCTCATAGTCGTCATCAGCTGGTTCTGCTTTAGCACCTGCCTCATCTCCAGTTTTCACAGCACTATCACCTTCAACAGGAAGCTCCATGCGTTTTCCCCACTTCAACTTGGGCTTCTTCCGCATTTTCGCTTTTCTGATGAACACGCCAGGGAGAAGATAAATAGATCGGCACATCTTTTCTATACCCTTCCCACTGCTGTCTGGGTCAATGTATGGACCACTTCTTAAGTCATCTGTCTGCCCCTCTCGGATCGAATCATGGTTTTCAGCATTGTCTTTCGGATTTGGCGGCCCTGCTGGTGCTGAGCACGAGAGGTCTTCCAAATCTGATCACTGCGGGGGTTTTTTGTTTTTTGTTTTTTTTTTTAGTAAAACCAACACAGAACAGATGAAGCAGATCGCCATTGGTTATATTGACATCCACATGAACTTCAATCATGGGTCTGCCATTTTTGACCCTGGAGCACATTTTGTCATGAGTAAGATCCATGCCACAGAAGTTGGCTGGGCAGTGTTTACCCTGAATGCCGTTAATAAGTAGCTTGAATTTTCTAAGTGCAACTTCATCATTCTGTAGGTCAGCAAGGCTCACTTCCAAAACTCAACCCTTGAGGCCATCAGATGCAATTTTGGTTCCTTGAGCCCTGGTGACTAGTATTTTTCCAATATTATACTGAACGTAGCTGGTGCATTCACATCATACCAATCTTTCTTAGAAAATAAATCTTGTTATAAAATGATCCTTTGATAACAAAAGAAAATGAATCAACCACTTTCTTCTTAGCTAGCTCCTTTTTGGCCACCTTTGGTAAGGTACTTGTTCTTGCCAACTGCCATGGTGCCACGCGGAGAACCACAAAGGGTCATCATTGTTCTTCATTGCCATCAAGTGGGCTGACAAGTGTGTTGGGCTGAGTTCTCTAGGGAAACAACACCACTGACGTGTAAGTGTCTATTAAAAAAACCTTTATATCAAGTTCATTTCACGTCCATGGGTGTGAGGCTAGCTGGAACCCTCTTTAGACCCATTTGTCTCCCAGTGGATAAAGTAGAGAGATAAAGTGGGGAGATAGGGAATCACACGCCGATGGGTTCAATCTCATGGATCCTAGGTCCGCAGTAACATGGTGGGGCGACACAGCCCCCATGGTCTCCAGGTCACATCGGCTGCCAAGCCTAGAACCAGATGTACAAAACAGGCAAGCAGGATGGTGAAGAAGCAAGAGAGAAGTTCTAAGTGGCAGTGTCTCTCTTATTAAAAATCCTCACCACCCCCAAGATGTAGCATCAAGGTGTGTAAGTTGACATAATATCTAACCTTCACAACCACCCCCTTGTCAACTTGATACCTTGGCACAGTTCTTTAACCATATATAATCTCCAAAGCCAGTAATAAAATCATTCTCGCGCATAAGAGGATACAACTAACGAAGTACAATTGAAAACACACCAGCCCTATTTACAGCTTATATTCTATAAGTGAACAAAACAAAATACTTCATGCCTAACTATTGCTTTCTGTGAACAGTCACCTACAGCTGAAACCCTCTAATCCCATCAACCTCTTCACCAGATGCATTAGGAAAAGTGTAAACTATTCCATGGATATCCTCCCTTGATCCACATATTTGAGACTGGAGACACCCATGAAAGTTTATAACCATTTCGTGCCTTTATCTCCCCCCCTTTTGGGTATTCAATTTCTAAATTGCCCATTCCTATTAACCCGCTACTCTTGAGGAGACAAAAATGTTCTTTGATGCGAAGAATTGTCACTTCAGTTAGAACTTTGTGTGTCCACATCCGTAAGCAGTCAAACCCAGAGCAGACCACCCATCAAAACTGCAAGTAATATGTTCCAACTTACAAGGTCAAATATCGTTGCTTTCATTCAGTGAGGTCCTGGTCAGCCCAGTCATAACCATTCTAAACTAGGTCAGCTTGGTACCCACCAGCCTGTGGTCGCCCTGCTTCATTTTTCTGCTTCCTGCAGCTGACCCACAGACTTGAACCATGCTGGACGTACCCACCTCTGCAACTGTGTGAGCCATTTCTTGATAAAATCTCTACACACAGTAATACCTCACTTGTCGAACCCAATTCTTTCCACATTCGTGTTCAAACACCAAAAGTTTGAGGACTGACCATATTCTTCCCGTAAGAAACAACGAACACCAAGTAATTGGTTCTGAGTCCTAAAACAGCCGCTTTCATCACTTTATTTTTTCCAAAAAATGTTGATCGTGTCAATTTATCGATGTTGTATTCCACTGCCAAGTCAGACAAGCAGCAGTCTGATTCAGCTCTCACTGTGGTTTTTTCTTTAACTCCATCGTGGTTCTCAGTTTTCCTCTGAGCGTTATTGCTGCTGTCGCTGACTTTCTCTGGAGCATGGTTATGATATTTTATGCAAATAAAGTGAAAAAAAGCGCAGTGACGAATGTTTTAAGGCACTGATGCAGCACTGCCTTGTGTGAGCGAGAGCCCCGCTTGGATGGAAACGTCACCCAGTGTGTGACGTGTGGCTCACTCTCCGTCTGCACAGGCTTCTCAAGTCGGGTTTTTGGTTCGACTTTGGAGCGAAGTTACGAACACCGAGCAGCTTTGTTTGAATGGTGCTGTTCGAGTATTGGAATGTTTGAGCTTGGAGCCGTTCAGCTCTTGTAAGGTTGTAAGTAGGTTGTTGAATAAACGGAATGAGCAGAGACAGTCCAACTTAAGGAGGTTTATTGGGTTCAAACCCATACTCGGTGCTGAGGGACCACACCGGACTGTTGAGTACCGAGTGTGGACCCCGAGCTTCAACCTGACACAAGCTATTAATAGGCATAACACACAGGTGTCTTTTTTATTTAAAAAGGCAAACTTTGCATTATCTTTAATTAGCGGTTTTTTCCAAAAAGCTGCTTGTACCAGTATGTGGTTTTTCTAAGAGCTACAGTGTACAAAAGTGGAATATTTTGAAATGAGGCTGGCATTTATGCAAGCTTGGGCACATCCTGTCCTCTACTATTTTTATTTCAGACCCAGACTCTACTTAGAGTTAACGGTCTTATCACAGACAACCAAGGTGTCGTAGTATGTCCATGTACAACCTCCGCTCCAACCTTTTCACAAATGTGGACATCAGCCGTCCCTCTCACTGCGCCATCCACATCTCTTCTAGTTGTGATCATCTTGTGATGTCCCCAGAGACCCCACAGGCCATACTTGCAGTTAATGGACGTCGCTCAGGTTGCATGATCAGGAAGCGCACAGCCCACCCTCAGAGCAGGACAGTCCTTGCAGCTCCTTTTGGCTAGGCAAGCAAGCAGGGCCTGCTCTCTGCCATCCCCCTCCCTACTCAGCCATATAGGCCTCCTCTCAAGCCTCCTGCCCAGATAACCACACACCCCACACACACACACACCCTCAGCACATGCATTTTCTTGGGCCTCCGCTTTGGTCTCCTTATGACCACCACCAACTCTGCCTCCAGACCCCTTTCAGGCCTGTTGCTGTGGCCTCTACCAATAGGCCTCTTCCTGGCCATGTTACTGCCTTTGGCCCACATTACAGGTCTTGTAAGGGTCCCCGTGCCTCCCGTTCTCTGCGTCTCTCTTCTTTGCCCGTCTATGTGCTTCCTGTCTGAAAAACTTCTGTGGTCTAGCGATGCTAGAACAGAAAAGAACTGTCCCGGGTAGGGAAGGAGGGGATAAAGGGGAGCGGATATCAAGGAGTTCAAGAAGAACGAAAATGTATTGAAAATGATGATGGCAGCAATTGTACAACTAGATCTAATGGACCTATGGATATGTAATTATATATGTAATATATAAATAATAAAATTAAATGTTTGGGTTTTTTTTAAAAAAAGAATAGAACTGCCCTTGTTGGTTTCCCAGACTAAATCTTTATGGGAACAGAAAGCCTCCTAATTCTCCTGTGGGGTGGCTGATAGGTTTGAACACCCAGCCTTGGGGTTAAACTGCTCAGTACATAACCAACTACAACAAGAACAAGAAAAAGGAGGGAAAAAAACACACAAAAAGAGAAAAAAGATCAAAAAGAAACTGGGAAAGCAATTTAAAAGGCCAGCAGAGAAAGGATACAAACACAAGTGGCGGCTGAGGGGGATGGTAAACAAAGGAGATGGCTGGGGCATGGCAAGACCCAGAGGAGAAAACTGCAGCAGGCAGAGCCCCTGGTAAGGATCAGCAGCCTTAGTTCAGGGTACTTGTTTCTGGAAGGAACAAGTCCATTAGGTGTAAATGGGCTCTTCTTACCTAACGGGGGTGTGGGGGGTAGGTGGGAAGTCAAGGTCTATTCTGCTGGTCTCAGGAGGCAGAGTTCAGGTGCCTCAAAATTCTGGGGTGGTGTATTGTCAGTAGCCTGATCCATGAAGGTGCAGCTCTAACCTTAGGCAAAACGGGCTGTGTAGGGAGAGGGTGTTACTGGCTACCGGGGTGAATAAAGGTGGGGACTGGTCATCTTGTCTCCAGCCACCAGTGTGCATTTATGTTGTCAGGCCACTCTCTGGATCACATGCTGCTTGGAAAAGTTCCGCTGACGATACCACGCCGGGCTAGCCACCATCTGTCTTCTCTCTCACTGCTTTTGTCATCTTTTTCTCAGTTCACGTCTCTGTCCTTTCCTGTGAAACTCGGGCTTTCAGGATTATCACTGTCTGTTCCCTTGGGTCTCTCCTGTCCTTATTGTAGAGGGTCTATGTAGCATGTAAGCCTAATCCACCAATTTGCTGGAAGTGTCCTTTTTGTTGAGTTTTCAATATCCCCACTTACCAGGGTTTTGCTTAAATTTATAGGTTCTTTTTGTTTCTGTTGTGTTTTATAGAGGGAAGGACTTTCTAAATTCAACAAAATCTATGAATTTGAATATCACCTGTTCGGGCAGGTAAGTGCTGAAGCATTTCTCAGATACAATTGATAAGTGCTTTCAAATGCCATTTGGTGTACTTCCTGTGAACATTTAGCTGTAGCTAAGAAGAGCAGCTTTTTACTATACCCATTACTATTGAGTTGATTTCAATTCATCGCCACCCTATAGAACAATAAAACTGTCCCACAGGGCTTACAAGCTTGTAATCTTTACAGAAATAAACTGCGTCACATAATCTTTACTGAAATAAACTGCCACATCGTTCGTCACAGAGAGGCTGGTGGGTTTGAAACACCAACCTTTTGGTTGACAGTCAAGCACTTTAACCAGTGTGCCATCAGAGCTTCTTGATAATTTATAAGGAATCTTCTTTTTACTCAAATATGGTTCCATCAACTCTGTAACAAGAAAGTAGCTGTGTAACTGCAAATAGGAAATAGTTTGAAGAAACTTTGAATGATAAGAAAGGTACTATGGTACTAGAATGATCATTATATCCTGATAGACATTTTGGACTATGAAGCACCATATTTATTTATTGTTTGCTCCCAATCCCCAGTTTTTGTTTCGTTTCCTTCAGTGGCTTGGCAAGTTATCATTACTAAAAGAGTAATTCCAATTTTGTTGTTCAGAATGTTACCATGGTAATGACTTCAGTTTCTGGACACTTGCTGGCTCATGACTTCCAAGTGCCGTTTCGAAAATGGTTAGTATAATTCCTAAGGGAAGACATTTCTGACTACTAAAGGTAAGTTGTGAAATATTACAGGAATCCTGGCATAATGATCTTTCTGTGTAACTTCTCTTATTGAGATAACCTAAGATCACCTGCTTCGTTGTGAATGTTCACCACATTCCCAGGTTGAGAAGGGACTTCAAATATTCTCCCAAAACATTCACGCTTTTTTCAGGCAGCCACTGCATTGCAGATGTGTGTGAAAGAGTGGTTGAATTTCTTCCTATTAATCTTCCTGAGAAAGTGGGAAATGCATTACAATGAGGATCAGCCCGTGCCTTTAATCACCTGGCATTGTCACGTGGGCATTGTCTGTGGGGGGAAGTGGGGGGGGTCCATGTCCAAGCCCACCAAGCAGATGGCTCTCCCTCGAATGGACCACCCTTCTTCACGGACTAAAGGAGAAGTCATTTTTCCTAAATTGTATAACTCCTGGTGCTTGTTTTGTTTGTTCTCTAGGCAAAGTTGCAATCCTCTTGTGCTCTTTGAAGCAGAAATTGAAAAATACTGCCCAGAGAATTTTGTAGACATCAAGGTAGGATCTCTTGGAAGGAAGGGTGGAACAATCACAAAATAGCCAACCTGTACTGTTTTCTATATTTTGAATCATTAGAATTGAGAAACAAGGTTTTCTCAATTGAGAAGCGCAGGATTGTGATTAAGAGATTATTCTCATCCATTTTTAAAATTCGGCTGTTAAAACTGAGTGATAGAGGGGTCGAATAGCTTTTCTATGAATAGTAGTTGCTTAAAGAGTTTTACTGATGGCTGGACCCCACCTAGTTCGAGGGAAGAGACCAGGCAGTGCCGGCAGTTGTTTGGAAGGACTGTGCCACACGCAAGCAGTCAGGGCGCCCGCAGGCCCTGTTAGCTGGGAAGCTCCAGATCGCATTCATCTGGGAGTTCATTTCTTTCAAACCAGGACTGAATCAGAATCAGGACTTTTGTAAGTAGATGTTAGATCTTAGCTGGACAAGGGGCTTCAAAAAGTTCGTGGAAGAATTTCAGTATCTCTTAATTCCACTTTTCCACAAACATTTTGAAGCCCCTCATATCTGTTTGTCAGGAGGAATTATAAGTGGGTATCAGGGGAGTCTTAACTATGTGCCAAGTGAGTTCTAAGAGTGTGGTGTGTGAGTTACTAGGATGTATCAAGGGAGTCATAAGTGTGTTAGAAATGAGTTGTGCATGTCAGGAGAGTTGTGAGCATGTGTCGGGGAAGTTATAAGTGTGTGCCCAGGGAGAGTTAGTGTGTGTCAGAGCAGAGTTATAAACTTCTGTCAGGAAAGTTGTGTGTGTCAAGGGAGCTATAAGCATGTATTAGAGATGACTTGTTATAAATGTATCGGGGCAGTTCTAAATGTGTGTCAAGGGAGTGAAAAGTGTGTGGCTGAGTTAGCAGTGTATGTCACAAGTGAGTTATTGTGTGTGTGTGCTGGGAAGTTGTAAATGTGAGTTACAAGCGTGTTAGAGTTGGGCTGTAAATGTGTGTCAGGGGAAGTCATTTGCCTGTCCAAGGTGAGTTAGAAGCATGTGCCAGGGAATGATAAGCACGGATGGGAGAGGAGTTGGAAACATGCCTCCGGGGTGAGTTGTTAGTGTGTATCTGGGGGAGCGACAGGTGTTTGTCAGAGGTGCGTTAAAAGTGTGATTGCAGGAAATGCTTAAATGTGACTGAGTTATACGTGTGTGTGTCTAGGGGTAGGTGTGCAGGGGTAGGCAAACTTTTGAGACAGAAGAGCCAATTCTGTCTCTCACAATGATTGAAGAATTATTCAAAAAGCCAAAAGTATTTTTTTACAAACAAATGAAGTCACCATTATCTGAATTATATCCTTTAAATGAAACCATGGTATTTTCATTTTCAATTTGACCTCAAGAGTCACATGTCCATACCGAAAGAGCCCCATATGGCTCATGAGCCACAGCTTGCTGACCCCTGGTCTAGTGTGGTCCAAACGAGAAGGCCTACACTGGTTCCTCACCATCAGTGTCACTGGTCGGAACTGTTTCTCCGGCCAAGTTGGCATCCCCAGAGTACCATGAATGGATGTTCATGTGATTCTTCTGTGTGAAGTGTCAGGTGCTCCACGGAGTCTGCTCTTACTGTTGTTTCCCCACCATGAATTTCAGAACACTCTGGAGCGAGAGGCGCGGCAGTGCCAGGCTCTGGTGATCTGGACTGACTGCGATAGAGAAGGGGAGAATATTGGATTTGAGATCATCCACGTATGCAAGGCTGGTAGGTGATGCCACCGTCCGGCTTTTTCCTTGCGATCACAAAGATGGCTCGTTTATCTGTATCTGTGCACACAGGCCACTGCCAAGTTCTTCCACATGTGTCCCTCCCTTCTTCTGAGTTGTTCCTCGGGTCCTGAGAGAGGGTCCATGGCCACCAGTTGTCTGTTCTGACAAGTCGCTGAACGCCTGCAAACTGTGGCTTCCTGGCCAGTCGGTCATCTGCAGCGAGGATAGACTTGTCACGTGGTAGAGCCAAGTGCATTGCCAACTCCTTGAGGGCAGGACTTGATAATACAATTGATGTATGGATTGTTACAAGAGATGTAAGAACCCCCAGCAGAATGATCTTTAAAAAAATTTTAAAGTATATGTCCCGTATGTAAACTAGTATACACATGTATAAATAAATATGTACGTGTGTGTGAATCTATACCAATAACCAGCTCCCAGTGGCCCCATGTGTTACAGAGTACATCACTCCATAGAGTTTGCTTGGCTGTAATCTTTATGGGAGCAGATTGCTAGGCCTTTTTTCCGGACACCACTAGGTGGACCCACACTGCCAACCTTTGGGGTCGTGGATGTCTGTACCACCGAAGCACCATTTACAAGGGAAAGCTAAAAAGTACTGCTGCTGGCTCCAGTTCATCCATGCACGGGCTTTCTTCCCAGCAAAACATCTCCAGACCTGTCTCTCTGGTCACTGGGTGGCCACGGACAAGTTTGCAGTAGTACACTGGTGTACGTCTCATTAGAAGGCCTTACAATAGAAAAAGTCCAGCCAGTGACTTCCCAAGAGATCTGCGGGGCCAGTTAAATTCAAGGCAGAGAAGTCAGCCCAGAAGGTTAGGTGTGAATACTGGCTTTGAGGACCACAAAGGGTCACCTTCATTGATTTTCTTCAGAGGGAGAGGATGGTCACGGGCTTAGTATGAGAAGTTTAAGGGCAATGAAAAGCTGCACTGGTGACAAAAGGCCAAGGACAGTTGCCCTGCGGAGGTCTTTGCCATCACGACAACGACCTGCTGTTCTTTGAAGACGACTGTCCCATGAAGATTTTGGTGGCAAACCTTGCCCCATCCATCCTGATCTCGTCACTTCAGACTTCTTGGTGTCCCCCACATTCAAAGAGCATTCACAAGGAACCTGATTTGTGTCTGTGTCAAAGGATGCTTTGACATGGTGTTTTACATGGTATAAATTGAAGAGTGTAGAATTATTTGGGGAAGGTTTAAAGAGATGGAAACACCACCTTCAGAAGTGTATAGGCCTAGATGAAAGACTTGTCAAGACATCCCCTTAGAAGGGTCACAAGGAAGAGACAAGCCAGCAGAGTGCAATATAGCACAGAGGAAACAAAACTTTCCTCTAGTTCATAATGCTTCCTCCCCCCAACTATCATGATCTCAATTCTACCTTACAAATCTGGCTCAACCAGAGCATGTATATGGGTACAGATAAGAGCTAGAAACACAGGGAATCCAGGACAGATAACCCCCTCAGGACCGGTAATGGGAGTAGCGATACCAGGAGGGGAAGGGAAAGGTAGGGGAAGAGAGGGGGAACTGATTACAATGATCTATGTAAACCCCTCCCTGGGGAACGGACAAGAGAAAAGTGGATGAAGGGAGACATCGGTCAGTGTAAGACATGATAAAATAATAATTTATAAATTATCAAGGATTCATGAGGGAGGGGAAAAATGAGCTGATAGCAAGGGCTCAAGTAGAGGGAAAATGTTTTGAAAATGATGATGACAACAAATGTACAAATGCGCTTGACACAATGGGTGTCTGCATGGGTTATGATAAGAGCTGTATGAGCCCCCAATAAAATGATTATTTTAAAAAGATTCCTTCCTAATAAGTCCTCATGATCATGCTGTGTGCTTTGAACAGATCTGTCAAAATGATCCCTTTGGAATCAAAAACAGCAACAAAGCGCTTACCATAACTGTGAGCTGACCTCGCTGCAATGAATTTAACTGGCCGCGCAACTGCCCGCAAAAGGCAGGGTTTTGATTAGGACTTTTTTTTAAGGCACCCCAAAGAGACTAAGCTAAGTCTATTACTGAGATAATCTGTCTTGCAGAGACATGTGTAAGCAAATTTTATTTGGAATAAACATGCCTGTATGAACTGGGAAAAAAAGATTTGCCAAGGAACCATAGCTTCACGTTTTGATATTTTTTGTCTTAATAAAGGATTCTCTGATTTTGTAGCAATACTTCTTGACGTATCATTTGTGCGTATGTACATGTGTGTGTGTTGTTGCTTTTGTTGTTAGGCACTGTCAAGCGGGTTCCAATCACAGCAACATTGTGTGCAGCAGAAAAGAACCCTGCCTGAGCCCGCATGCTCCTCAGGATCTGTGCTGTGTGTGAGCCCCTGGTTCAGCTACCATATCAATCCATGCCCTCCAGGAAGGTGTCTTCCATGATGTCCTTTTCTAGGGACTGGCTTCTCCGACAATAGTCCAAATACGTGAGACAAAGTCTCATCGTCCTCGGTTGTCAGCAGCGTTCCAGCTGTACTTCTTCCGGGGCAGAACCGTTTGTTCCGGCAGCCCACAGTACATGCAGTGTTCTTCACTCGACCACACTTGGAATGTGTCAGTTCTTTGGTCAACTTTCCTGTGCATAATAGTCGTTAAAAATACTATTGCTACATCAGCCTCAGGGGACATTTTTTGCTCTGAATGTCCATTGCGTGTTAAGTATAAGGAATCATCCAAAGTGTTTTTGTGTTTTGCCCATATTCTTTGTGCCTTAATACTTAGGTGAATGTGAAGGGTTCTAATGAGTAACTTAGAGGAAGTGACAAAGAGGTGATACTAGCGTTCACATGGGAGAGGGTGCTGTTTCCCTTAAAGGTATTTGTGTAAAATGCTGTGATGCCGCATCTTGAGGTTGTAACTAACAGGGTCAGTGTATGCCTCATGTTCTCCGGGAAGGTGTGTTAGTCTGGGTAGACTAGAGAAACAAATTCATAGACACTCATGAGTATAAGAAAGAGCTTCATAGACAAGAGCAATTGGATATTGAGAAAACATCCCAGCCCGGTCCAGATCAAGCCCGTAAGCCCAACATTAGCCCATATGTCCGATACCAGTCTATAAAGCCCTCTTTAGACTCTAGAAATACATGCAGTGATGCAGAATGCAGGAAGATCACAGGCCAGTGGGTGGGAAGTCTTGTGAATCTGGCAGTGGAAGCATCTCAGTGCTGGCAGGGGTCACCACGTGGCTCCTTCAACTCCAGGGCTCTAGCATAGCCCCATATGTCTTGTCTGCATTGACAGGCTAGACTCCACACCTCCACTCTGAAGCCTCAAATTGACAACAGATTATGTGACTACCAGAAAAGGACATGAGCATTCCCCACAGGACTCTTGATTGGCAAAGGTTTTCGTTTTCCCTAGAGGTATGAGAGCAGGCGAAACTGAAGTCCCACAAGGCTTCCCAGGAGAACTTTGATTCATACCTGTTCCCTGACCACATTCTGTGCCGAGGACACGGTAGTATTTCCCTCTTAGACTACGCCATTAATTTAACCCTCTCAGTAAAAAGAGTACCTCACACTTGGGTGGAGGCAGAAAAGCGCGCCTTTTGCCCTGTTGTGCAGGGAGACTGTGGCTTGATTCTGACCCGGCTCTGTTCTTGCAGTGAAGCCCAGCCTGCCAGTGCTGAGAGCCCGTTTCTCTGAGATCACCCCACGTGCCATCAGGGTGGCCTGTGAGAACCTGACAGATCCCGACCAAAAAGTGAGCGATGCTGTTGACGTGAGGCAGGAGCTGGACCTGCGGATTGGTGAGGGTCACCCAACAGAGGCCCCCGCTGCAAGGCTGATGGTGATGTCTGCAGCCGACTCTGCCTTGACTGTGTTGTCCTCCCTGTCTGTCTGTCTGTCTGCCTGCCTGCGTCCAGGCGCTGCCTTCACAAGATTCCAGACCCTGAGGCTTCAGAAGATATTCCCAGAGGTGCTGGCGGAGCAGCTCGTCAGTTATGGCAGCTGTCAGTTCCCAACGCTGGGCTTTGTGGTGGAGCGGTTCAAAGCCATTCAGGCTTTTGTGCCAGAAACCTTCCACAGAATTAAAGGTAGGTGGAGAGTGGGGCCTGGGGCCTTGGAGCCCCATCACAGCACTAGGAGGGGCCTTACTTCCAGCTTTGCTCATGGCGCTGTCTGAGCTACCGCATGCCACTCCCACAGAAGGGCCTTGGTGGGTGACTGTAACAAGGAGAAATTTACGTTCCTCATCATTCAGGAGGCTAGACGGCCAAATTCAGGGTGCCAGCTCTTGGGGAAGGCTTGTTGTCTGTGTCTGCTTCACTTCTCTTCAGTGTCTGCCCCTTTCTGCTTTGGTGGTCGTCAGGTGGGCTGGCATGCGTTTTCCTCCACCTCCACTTACTTCTCTCTGCCTAATCTCATTTTGGATCTCAGAGGTGATTGGCTTAAGACATATCCTACACTGATGGGGTTTCATTAGCCAAGGGAACCCTGTTCCCAAATTTTCCTACATTCACAGGTATGGGGGTTAGGATTTACAACACATCTTGAGGGGACACAGTTCAATCCATGTCAGCCCGGGGCCCAGGAATCACAGGCAAAGGGGAGAAGCCCAACTGGAGTTCGGTGCGTGACTTCTGGTCTTGCTGCCCCGCATCGTACTCACCATGGCATTCAGAATCCACCCGCGGTTTCCTTAGCTGTCAAGAAACATCTGCTTCCTGTTCCTTTGAATTCCGCTTGTTAGTGTTGGGCAGTTTGAACCCCCCAGCCGCTCCATGGGAGAAAGGACAGGCTTTGGCTCCCTGCTCCCGTGCAGCTTTCCAGCCTCAGAAACCTCAGGGAGCCGCGCCGCTCTGCCCTTGGGCCTGTGAGTCAGGGTGCACTCGAGGGCAGCGGTGGCTGCTCGCTGTGCTCTGACATCACGTCGCTTCTCTGAGCCCTGCTGCTCTGCTTGCTTCCCCGTACAGTGACGCACGAGCACGAGGATGGCGCTGTAGAATTCAACTGGAAAAGGCACCGGCTCTTTAACCACACAGCTTGTCTCGTCCTCTACCAGCTGTGTATGGAGGTAAGACATGTTTTGGAATCCTCGGGATCCAGGGAAAAGCCTGCACCTGCCCCAGCTAGCTCCCCCCTGCTGTTGACAGACAAGGTCCTGTCCCCCTTTCCGCCTCACTGGTGGCTGTAAGTTTGCATCTCAGGCATCTGTGTTTGAGAACCAGTAAGGCTGGAACCCCATGGAAACGGCATCCCTGATGGGAATGGGAGAGGTCTGTCCCTGGCTGCACAGTCTCTTCCTGACGCCAGGATCACAGGCCAGACGCCTGGAGTGGAAGGAGGGTCTAGTTCTCGTCGTCCGGAGAGACGGCGAGCGTGAGGGTCACGTTTTTAATGAGTACCCAGTGCATGCCCAGTGAGAGAGTGTGCCTTAGGGGGACACTGCCCTGAACAGGACACGTGGGCACGTTCAGTTCCTGCAGCGATGTGTGCCACACCAAACACCCAAACCACGCCCACTCCCGGCCATTCGAGTCCTGTAAGACAGAGGAGAAATACCCCCCTGTGGGTTTCCAAGACTGTGCATCTCTATGGGAACAGCCAGCCTCAGCCTTCTCTTTCTCCTGTGGAGCTGCTAGTGGGTCTAAACTGCTGACCTTGGGGCTAGCGGCCAAACCCCTAACCCACACTATGCCACCTGGACTCCTGGATCGGTGCCACAAGGAAGTAGAACCAGCTGGAGGAGAGAGCCTGTGAGGGAGGAAGGCCAGCGGGGAGAGTCCTTAGATGAGGTGGTTATGGAAGGGTCTCCCAGGGGCCCACACCGAGAGACAGACAGAATGAGCCGAGGGAGGGTCTCTGGAGCAGGAGGGCTCTAGGTCAAGGGAAGAGCACATGACAAGGTCGACAGCTGGCTTACAGTCAGTGGTTACTTGGTGGCAATTCAACCCAGGGGCTGCACACTGGTGACAAGATCAAGGCCTGACTCCTTGCGGCGGATGAGGATTCCTGTGGCTAAAGCCTGATGTTTGATTGCTGTGGTAAAGATAGCCGTGGTTACTAAGTATCGACTGTGCACCAGGCACACTATTTTGATGGCTGTGAGGAAGGCAACAGTGTCTTTTGTGGAAGAAGAAGTTGGAGAGAGTAAAGAGCACAGGCCCGTGGACCACACTTCCTGCTAGCTGTGTGTTTCCCCGGCATTGGAGGGGGAGCACACTGGCTTGTGGGTGTGATTTGGCGGGGCGGGGGGAGTTGCCACCACACTGTTGGCTAAACACCTGCATCAGATCGGGGCCCTCTAGCACCAGCTCACCTGTCATGCCAGTGCCATCTGGGGTGGAGCAGGGAGGTCCCAGGAAATCGGGCTGAGGAGCGGGAAGGTGGACCTGGTCTTCTCTCTGCCTGGCTTTCTAGGATCCTACAGCAACGGTGGTGGATGTCCGCTCCAAGCCGAAGAGTAAGTGGAGGCCTCAAGCTCTAGACACCGTGGTATGTTCCAGGGGGATGATCCCACTGTTCAGTAGCATGGGCTTGGTGGTGTTGGGACAGGTCTCCCTGCACAGGGTTCAGGAAAGCGCCTGGGAAACGGGGGAGCCCAGGGCAGGATCCAGGATCTGCATGCGTCGAATGATGCCACTTTTCCATTTTCAAATTCATTAGGTATGCTGTGTGACGTTTGGAAAACAAAAACAGAAAGACAAACTGTTTACCACCTCACCATCTTTACATAATGATCAGTGGACTTCTGTCTTGTTATCATGTGTGTTTTGTTGCTGAGAATATTCACAGAAAAATGAACGGTTTCTCCATGTACACTTCAGTGACATTGCTAACATTTTTGAGTTGTGTGACCTGTTGACCCTCCTTTTCTGAGTGGTCTGGGTCGTCCTGTCCCCATCACCTCCTCTCCCCTCCCCCCACCATTTCAGTAAACTCACTGCCCACTCCACTTCTGTCTCACCTTTCAGGTTGCTGTTGTCAGTTTTATCGCATTGAGGCAGACCCTTAAAAGAGCGTAATGCATAAGACAAAGATTTTTTATAAATTACGCAAAACGATTGTGTGGCTTAAAGACCTTGGGCGACAGTTTGGAATGAAATTTAAAGTTATCTCAGGGCAGTCATTTGAGGGGTGTGCTCACTCCATGGCTCTAGAAAATCTGGATTCTAGATGTGAGTTTGAAATTCTGGTTCACGTTTCCCTTCTTTTGATCAGGATTCTCTTATAGAATCTTTGGTCAAAATGGGTAGTAAATGTATCGTCCTGTTTTTCAGTAAGCATATTTTTGTTAGCATTCACCCAAACCTTTCTTCCATCTTGCTGCATCATCTGCGTAAACAGCATTTTGGATATCTGTTATGAAGCCTCCCTTAGAGTGAGGCTCCTCAGACACTGAGCCCAATGAGGGCCGTCCCTGTGGGACACCAATCTGGGTCAGTCACATCAGGAGCACCCTTTCCTGGCGCTGTTCTGTGGGAAAACTCTAGTTAACACTGCTCAGGGGCAGCTCTGGAAGGGGTGGGTCCGTGAGGAGAAAGTTACAGGGTGATCATGGCGGAGACAGATGTGTTTGATCCTCCTGGTTAGAAAGGGTGACGTCCAGTCAGCAGGGTTGTCAGAGTAGCAGCATGGGGAAAGGACCACTGACCATTGCCCTGCTGGCCATGAAGAATGTCGTCTGTCATCCAGGGGAAAGCACTGGGGAATGGGGTGATGTTTCCCAAAGTGAAATTCTCTGACCACCTGTGTTACAGCCCAGGTTAATGCAAGTTCCTGGTTGCTGTTCCCACCTGACCCCTGTCAGAATTCCTGAAAGTCAGGGCTGCTAGTTTCCCAGGAGACACTTCCCTTATCACCTCAGAGTCTTAGGTCCTTGGGGTGGGGGCCATCTCCACCAACCAAGCCCATAAATCTGCCTTGAGCCCCCTGGCACCACCCTTCTCAGTAACCAGCTCGTGAGCACAGACTGCTGCCAAAAGCGAGGTGCACCTGCCACCAGTGACCGCACGCCACCACTCCCGGGCACAGCTCCGTGGGAAGGGTTTTCCATGAGCTGCTCCTGTCAATGGGGTCAGCTCTGTTTGATGGCTGCTGCTTCTCTGGGACCATCACCTGGAGAGGCCATTCTGTGATCACGGAGTTGATGAGTGCGCTGGTATCAGAGCGAGGGATGCTAGGTAAGGTGTACAGCTGCCTGTTGCATCTTCTGTCCACTCATATCTGGGCTGCATCTCTGGCCTATGGAACCAGAACCTCTCAGCTGGCTGGATTTCAGTGTATTCCCATGAATGCCAGCCATTCTTCACTGGACGATTTGCTTAAGTGCAGCCATTGCGTGGTTTCCCTCCCTCTCTTCCAAGTTGGCAGGAGATGTATGCTCCAGATCCCAGGTCCTGCCCTAAGGCCAGAGAGTAAGAGAGACTGGAATTAGTGAGGAGTGTGAGTGGCTCGAGGCAGAAATGATCCATTGAACACAGTTGTGTTCAAGTACCTGCTCCTTTAACATTTAGACCTCGGGAAATGGAAGGGAGGACCAAGCTGATGTAGCCACTGTGGCCTCCCACAGCGCATAGATGAGAGGAACATCCTGCCTGAACGCGATGCAGCACCATCGCTCTGTGCTGAGGAGAACGAGGCCATAGGACCCTAATGGGCAGGTGTACTGACTTCCAGTAGGGGGTGGGGTGGGGGACAGTGTGTAAAAAACCCAATGTCAGGGGCAGAGTCCACAGCTGGTGCTGATAGACTCCTTTCCTCCCGCCTCCTGTGCTTTCCTGGGCTGCGGTCAGGCTGCTGGGCTCCTGCCATAGGTGGGAGGCCGCAGACCTTGGCCGAGCTGCTGCCTGTAGGCTCTGTGCCAGGTTGTGTGGCTGTAGTTACACACTGTTGTGTGTGGGGAACAACCCCCTCTTACCCTTAACCCCACAGTTGTGGACACTAGGACAGGTTCGCAGGGCTGCCTGCACACCTGGTGTGAGGAGCCGGGCACAACACTGGACAGGCAAGCACCGAGGGTGTGTTTCTCAGAAATGGCACTAGCACATAGCCGATTGAATCCCTGATAGCCCTGAGGGGTCCACACTGTGCCTCTCCTTGTGCAGGCAGGGGAATAGGACTTAGAGTTAGCTGTTAGTCAAGCTTCCTTCTGCTCCAGGCGCCCAGACTCCAGTGCCCACCCTGCTTGTCCCTTTGTGTGCTGGGGGTCCTGTGAGGTGGCGACAGTCTCCTGTGGACAGCATGGATCTAGACTGGTGGAACCTGCGTGGTTCTGACCATGAGCCCAGCTGATGGGTCAGTGAGATGTTTAAGTTTCTGGTCTCTAGTCCAGGGGTTTTTTAAGTTTGCTGTGGACCTGGGACTCTGGATGTTAGGGAGCATCCCCATGCTGCTCGTGGGCAGCCAGGTGCGGGGACCCTGCCTTCTAACTCTTTTCCCCTTGCTTGCCTGTGAAAACCACCCTCCGCACGGGTCGTGATGTTAGGTAACGTGAGTCGGTGCCGGTGCCGACCCATAGCCACCCTTTGTATGAGAGAGCACAACACTGCCCGGTCCTGCTCCTTCCTCGCAGTTGTCCTGTGCTGGAGCCCGTCCTGACTGCCTCGTGTCAGGCCAACTCATCAAGTGCCTTCCTCTTTTCCTCTGCCCCTCGACCAAGTGTGATGCCCTTCTAACAAATCCCGCTCCCTTCCCTGGCGATTGATTGAGTCGAGCTTGGAATCTAGAGTCTGTCTTTTTAAGATTTGTCCAGTTTGGGGAATAAGTGCTCATTTAATCCTACCCGTGAGGAAGCCCAGGTCCTGAGAAATGTGCTGGCTCATTAAGGCCCACACTGTGACACTGTGACAGAATTGCTGCAGGACCCAGCCCGCTGGCTGTGTAGTAAATTGGCCCTTCTGTATGGATAAGTGCGTAATTCCAAGTCATGTGAGAGTATGAGGGGCCATGTTGGTTAAACATGTAGGCCGTATACCGTGTTGAGCCAAAGGCTGGGATTGCACGTAGTTCGGCAGGGCACAGAGGACGTGGCTCTCCAGCAAGGCCGTTTTTGCCTCTTTTCTACCAGTTGTCCCGTGTCACTGCCACTGAGGACACCGGTCTTTCCCCCACGTGACAGCAGCAGCGTGTGTTCTGGAAGACGAGGCTGTGCTCTTCAGGGCCTGTGAGCACCTCCCCTAACGCACCTGTTGTCTCACGTCGCAGGAGCTGGAGAAGCTGGCTTCACGCAAACTGAGAATAAACGCGAAAGAAACCATGAGGCTGGCCGAAAGACTCTACACTCAAGGGTAAGTGCTCTGGATGGGGGTGGAGATTTGGGCATCTTCAGGATGGACCCCGTTAGAAATAGAGCTTAGCAGGGAACTACCAATGGTCTAAAATGTGGCCCTGCCCCTGAAGGAGGAGCCCTGTTGGCACTGTCGAGGACGCGGTCAGCTGGCAGAGCCGGCGGTTCAAACCTATCAGCCGCCCCTGGGAGAAAGGTGAAGCTCCCTGCCCCTGCAGATCCTGTTAGGATCGCTGCTGGCGGTGATCTACTCAGTGATCTCGTCTGGCGGGGAAAAGATGCTCAAAATCCGTGTATCCTAAACTAAGAGCCCCCAGGGTAAATTCATCCTATTATTCACACACACACACACACACACACACACACACACACACACACACACACGCGCCGCAGCATCTCTCCAGGGCCCAGCAGGAAGCAGGGGCACCTCAGTGCTGCAGGACCGTGGCAAAGCATCCCTTCCATGGGGCTGTGAGCGCTCCAGCTGCGTCCCCACGTGACCAGGCACCTGCGGAGGTGAGAGGCACTCCTCGTGTCCCTGTAAGTCCCACATGGGGAGTTCCAAATTTTGATGTGAGAAAAGACTGTGGTCCCTATAGTCATTGCACATTTGTAAAGTCTGTCTGCTGTTTGGACGTGACTCCCGTTGTTAGTTGCTGTCAAGTCAGTCCCGACTTCTGGAGACCCGCTGTGTTACCAGCAGGGTGAGTGTCTGCAGACGGGCAGCCTTTTCTCAGGGTTCCTGCCGTGGGTGGGGACCGCCAACCAGCGCTGGCAGTGTCTGTGCTAATAGCTGCTTGCAGTGCGCTGCGCGCTCTGTAGGGTGTCTGCCGGCAGCATCGCTCCTTCGCCTTGTGTCAGGTGAAGATGGGCACGGTGCTGCTGCCACCCCAGGCTCTCCCAGCGGGTCCTGGGCCCCAGCTCAGGGCATCTCCATGTGGTGACCCAGGTGGCTGTGTCAGATGGGCACTTTCGGAAGTCAGCCGGCCTTGGGGTCTAGCTGAACTGTTTACAAACCACAAAGTGACCCTGCTGTTTCTTTTTATTCCTCTGTTTGCCTTTTTGTTATCATTATCACCAACGGGGGAGGGGGGGTGACATTTCTGATCATTGACTGTATCCCATCATCTAAACTATTAATCAAGCCCCGCATCAGTTTGCTCCTCCCACTCCTTGGTTTCCCTTCCTCCTGGGGATCTCCATCTTCTACTGCCCACGTCAGCACCATCAACTGTCCCCATGCTTGCTCCTTGCCCTAGACGCCATAGCTTCTGCCTTTGGTATGAATGGATCTTGTGCTTACTTTTATTTTTCCCTAGAACAGTGATTGCCGAAAATCCTGTCCTTTCTGATTGGCTCCGGTCACTCAGCATCTCGTTCTTTCTGCTTGCCCTTGCTCAGGTACATCAGCTATCCTCGAACGGAAACAAATATCTTCCCCAAAGACCTCAACCTGATGGTGCTGGTGGAGCAGCAGGTCCCAGATCCTCGCTGGGGGGCCTTCGCCCAGAGCATTCTAGATCGGGGTGGCCCTACGCCCCGCAACGGGAATAAGTCCGACCAAGCCCACCCTCCCATTCACCCCACCAAATACACCAGCAGCCTGCAGGTTAGTTCCTAAGTACACTCCGGCCATCACAGTCGTACGGTCTGAATTCACTCCCGAGGCGCCTGTTTTGGGGAATAAGTGATTTTGAAATTCTTCTTCCCTATCAGGAGTCACAGTTCTCTTTCACAGGGAAAGGGTGCATGCTCTGTGCAGCCTCCCTGACCACTCTGTCAGGCACTCCAGCTTCTCCCCTGACCCGCCACACACAGACTGGCCTCTGTCATGCCCTCACTCGCTGTCATTCTGCCCTACCCTCACCCATATCCACTACACACACTCACCATACCTTCTGCCATGCCCACACCCACCACCACGCTTACCATCCTTACCGCCCCAGCGTCCACTGTGCCTGTCCCTACCACTGCCCACACCCATGCCCATCTTAAGCCCTTGCCCACACAGAACTGGATTGCCTTGCTACTGAAAAGAATAACATTCTGTCCATCATTCAAAGATTGTCTATCTCTTTAAAAAGGAAAGGAAAAGATTGTCCCTCTCTGTCTTGAAACATTAATCCACACTCCTTATAGAATCTTCACACTTAGAGATTCCTAAGTGTTGTACAGCTTTTCTTCTTATTTCCCCAGCGGGGAGGGCTTCCTGAGGGCAGGGGCTGTTTAAGCTGTTGTACAGCTGCAGGCTCAGTGCAAAGTTCAGTACGTTTGATTGTGTTTTCCCCGTAACAGTCTGTATGGCTTTCCATTCTTCTCAAAGAGAGACATGCGCATGTTAGAAAATATGGAAGAAAACCCACGCATCCGATCCCACCTGCTAACATGCACTACCTTGTTTCTATGCATGTATATAATATTTTTATTGCAAAAGATGAACCTCAGATAACTTTAGAAGTGGCTTTCTATTTTATGACATTACTTCCCCCCCCCCCCCAGTTTTATCTCACAAGCATTTCCCCCAGGCTGAAATAGTCTTTAAAAGTGGGGTTTTTAATGATTACCTAATTTATTTTGCTAAATCTATTTTTGATATTTGGGTTGTTTATAATTGTTTAATATCTAATATACTAGAGTTAGCATCTTCGTACATAAATATTTGTGCCGGTCTCTCATTATCTCCTTGGAATAAACTATTAGAAGGAGAATGATGGGCCGTCATAATGATGGGCCGTCAGTTGGAGTTGATCTCCGCCAAATCTCTGATGATTTGTCCCATAGAAACTCACCTAAGGAAGAACTCTTTGATTGTGTCCATAAAATACTTGCACGCATACCATCAGGTGGTCATAAGTTGTCCTCAGGCTGCCTGCCATTGAGTGTTCTGTAGGCTAGGGAGTCTCTTGCCAACTTGCTCTGCTTGGATCAGCTTTTCTGTTCAGATTGAGTTTTTATCACAAGGGATCCCTTGCAGGTCTTAGCCTGATTCGAATTGTGGAGTCCCACAACCTGCACTCACAGACACCAGAGACGTGCCCTGCCTGGTTTAGAACTGGCTGAAAGGGACTCGGCCCAGGTTTCAACCACTGATAAGGCCAACACCCTTAAGAGTTGATCTTTTTGGTGAACTTTTCAGACTCTGTTTTTCTTCAAAGGGAGATGAGCAGCGACTGTATGAGTTCATTGTTCGCCATTTCCTCGCTTGCTGCTCCCAGGACGCCCAGGGGCAGGAGACGACAGTAGAGATTGACATCGCTCAGGAGCGCTTTGTGGCCCATGGCCTCATGGTTCTGGCCCGGAACTACCTGGACGTGTATCCATATGATCACTGGAGTGACAAGGTGAAGAATCAGTCGCGGCAGAGGGCAGAGTGCTTGGCCCCAAGGGCCGCAGGAAGCAGGGAGACAGTTATGTCCCCAGCCCTGGTGCCGTCCGATGGAGCAGAACCGTATTCTTTGAAATGCGGGTGTCTTTTCCTGAGCCTGGCAACAGCATGATCTGACGGAAGCTTCTGCTGCTCTCTGCAGACGATCCCTGTCTATGAGAGAGGCTCCCGCTTCCAGCCCAGCACTGTGGAGATGGTGGACGGGGAGACCAGCCCACCGCAGCTGCTCACCGAAGCCGACCTCATTGCCCTCATGGAAAAGCATGGCATTGGTCAGTAACTTGGGGCCGTGGGAATGACCACCTCCGTGTCTCATGTCATCTTCACACCACCTCTGGAACGGAGGGGTCCCACTGTTCTATGTAGAGACAGTCCTCGGGAGGAAGCCTGGGCTTTGTACTCCTGACAACAGGGACAGCCTTGGACACCCACGGGGTGGCTGCGAGTCCGCAGGGACTCTGTGGCAGTGAGTGATGCGAGGTGAAGAACTCACCCTTGTTCACCAGGGTTGGGAGCTCTGGAAGCCTGGGTCTGATAGCGCCACAGTCAGCGATTTCAGCCTGAGTTTGAGTACCTGACACGTGGACTGCAGAGCTTCACGTATCACAGACGTATATAACCATCACCATCACCATAAAAAACCATGTCCCTGTGTCATTCCGGTTCTCTCTTAAACCCCCAAGTCACTGGCAGCCAGGCATCTGCCTTCTGTCTGGTTTTGCCTATTCTGAGGATTTCACATACATGGATACACACAGCAGGCAGCCTCTTGTGACTTCTTCCACGGCTCAGCCCCGTAGTCACGTGTGTCAGAAGTTCCTTCTCAGGTGGCGTGATAGTCCCTGTGTAGAAAGACCACAGCTTATTTGCCGTTCATCAGTAGAAGGACGTTCAGATTGTTTCCACTTTGTGGCTAATATGAATAATGCTGCTGTGAACATTCATACGTACTGTTTTTATTGAACACCTGTTCGTTCTCTGGGTATAAACCTAGGAGTAGAACACCAACTTGATGTTGCACTTTCTGAGGAACTGCCTGAGTTTTCCAAAGTTTTCCAAAGTCAGCGATACCTGCAGTCCACCTGCAGTGGTTGAAGTTTTCAGTCGCTTCACATCTTCACCAGCACTTGTTAGCTGATTTTTCGACTCCAGCCCTCCAGTAGATATGAAAGGGACCTCATTGTGATCTCGGATGTGTTTCCCTAATGGCGAGCTAATAGTGCAAAGAGCTCTCAGACCATAGCCTAGGGGATGGGCCTGGGCATGTTGTAGTCACGTCTTAGTTGATGTGGGCTCCACCCCAGGCTCTGTGATGGGAGTGGGAGGAGGGATTAGAGGGAGACCAGGATGGGCTGCGGGGAGTGAGCAGGTATGGAAGCATGCGCCGCACATGCGCACGTGCACACACGAGAGGCACGGCTGCTGCTGTGATGTCTTGGGCTCTCTGACCAGGGCATGACTGGAGGGCAAGGGCCCCTGTGAGTGAGGCGCCGCAGTCCGCTCAGCCGTGCCTGTCTTGACCTCAGAGTAACCGAGCAATGACTTTCAGGTACTGATGCCACCCACGCAGAGCACATTGAGACCATTAAAGCCCGCATGTACGTGGGGCTCACGGCAGACAAGCGGTTTCTCCCGGGGCACCTGGGAATGGGGCTTGTGGAAGGTAAGTGGGGCAGGGCCACAGCCCCAGGAAGGGGAGCTCATGTCCTGGGGGGTCCTCACCACGGTGTTCTCCTTACAGGCTACGATTCCATGGGCTATCAGATGTCTAAGCCGGACCTCCGGGCCGAGCTGGAAGCTGACCTGAAGCTGATCTGTGAGGGCAAGAAGGACAAATCTGTGGTTCTGAGACAGCAAGTCCAGAAATACAAGCAGGTGTTCATTGAGGCAGTGGCAAAAGCTAAGAAGTGAGTTCTGGATCCTGGTCTGTCCCCGAGGTCACTGAGTGGGCCATGGTGAATAATTTCCCTAATAAGTTTGAGGGGCATGATTCAGCAGAAAAAATGTGGTGTCATTCTTTATATCCTGTGTGCTTTTGGGTGCTGAGCCACTGCCAGATGACCTCACCCTCACCACTGACTTGCTACGTGGGCCTGGGGTACAGTGTTCACTGACCTTTGAACCTGCCTCCTCTGAGTTCTGTCTTTTCCTTCCACAGAGCTTTTGTCAGTTTAGAAACCTGTCCCGTCACACTGAGCTGTTTGCTTTAGAAATGCCCTTCTACGACGCCTCCCTTGACTTAGCAGGCAGCACGCGCTCGCTCATCAGCAAACCCAGGCCCTGGCGTGTGACTGCTTGTTCTCTGGAGGACAGAGCGTGCTTATTTATCAGGCAGCGTGTGCCACTTTTATTAGAAGCGACCTGTTGTCTGTCCCACACCAATTCTGGAAAGAGAGACATTGGCTGGTTTAAGCTGCCACCAGACAGACACTTCTGGGGGTGTGCACAGCACTTTGCCACTACTTTTGTTTAAGTGTGCAGCAGCGACCGGGCAGAGGAGAGCGGCCACTGCCTTGTCTGCCAGTAGCCGAGTTCCTTCCCGGATTGCCCGGGAGCTGAGAATCAGGAAGTCAGGACCAGGGAGGTGTCCAGCCCTCTCTCTGCTCCCATCCTCTGTGTCTGACCTGTGACCGCACCAGCTGTCTGGGTCCTGAGGTCCCATGCTTGCAGTGTCCAGGGGTAGATGTTGCAAATGCCTTTGCTGGAATGCATCCTGGCCTTTTTCCACAGGCTGGACGAGGCCTTGTCCCAGTACTTTGGGGAAGGAGCCCAGCTGACCCAGCAGGAGGAGATCTACCCTGCCATGCCGGAACCCATCAGGAAATGCCCTCAGTGCAACAAGGACATGGTGCTCAAGACCAGGAAGAATGGCGGGTCAGTGCCCTGTGTCTGCTCCTCTGTCCCCCGCCCATGCTGTGTTCATCACCCAGCTGTCTGAGAGGCCCCAGCCGTCTCGTTGTGTGTCACCGTGTAAGCGCAGGCCTGCGCTAGTCTTGGGAGAGATGATGGGAACCAGCTGGGACCAGATGTTCCCGTGTGGAATTCTGTGAGAGTCCGAGGAAGCGGGCTGGGGATGGGTGATGGGGAGGTTTCTGTTCCCCAGGGACAGGATGCCCTTCACCCAGTTGTGGCAAACTGAGGTGCATGGCCTTTGGACCAGATAGGGCTGGATTCAAGTGCATTCCTACTGTGTGTGAGGTTTGTGACTCTAAGCAGGCTGCACGGCTCCTCTGAGACCCGTTTCTCCTTCCATAAAGGAAGGTCAGTAGTTATACCCATAGCGCTGGGTAAAGGTCAGCAGTGAAGGAAGGGGCCAGGGACCTAGCACAGTGCCTGATACAGGTGGGCATTTAACACGTACCAGTCTTTTTCCCATCTAGTCTTGGGTCTGAAATCCCGGGTCCCTTGTGATGGTCAGTACAGGAGTTTATCCCAAGAATCAAGTTTATCCCCAGTGCCCAGCCCCTGGAAGACGCGCCCAGGGAAAGGCCTGTTCAGGAGCAGGGAGCCGTGCTTGTCACGTGCTGTTTGTGGCTGATACGGTGCCAGGTGCTTCAGGACGTTGTCTCACCGGAGCCTGACAGCCGCCAGCAGTGTGCGCGCCCAGTGTGGGGGGGCCTTTGACGGCTTGTTTCCGGGCCACGTAGCCTTACTTAGTAAGCACTAGATGTAGAATTCTTCACTGCCTCTTTTTTTATTTTATTTTTTTTAAGGGTGAAAATGGACTTTAGAGTAGTAACCTTAGGAAAACCCATCCCTGGCCCTTAAAAACCTCATCCCCCTCGCAGCGCCTCCAAATCTAGGTAAAGGAAGCTGAGCGTGAGTGGCCCCTAAAGGCTAAGCCCACCCCAGCCCCAAGGCACAGAGCACATGGCCTGGGAATATCACTGTCTCTTGGGGCTTGGCCACCGTTGACCACTGCTTCTCTCTCTCGACCCTGCCGGTCTCCGGTACCACAGCACTGCCTTTTTGCTGCTGGAAGTCCGGAAGGAAGAGCATGGTTTCTTCATTCAGTCTCCAGGCCTGTATTTGGTGAAGGGGAGGCCGCCCCAGCTGGGAGAGACCAGACGCAGCAGCAGGGATCGCTGGTGGCCACAAGGGTCTTGTGTGTGTTTTAGAACTTTTGGTTGTGAGTTCCATGAGGGTTTATAGATCAGAGCATCATCTTTTGTATTCAACAACGTTATAGGGCACCCAATGGCTTGCCCTGTTTCTCTCTCTCTCTCTCTGCCCACCTCCCTCTTGTAGCACATTCTCTCCTCCACCTAAATTAACACCTGTCTTCTCTCTAGCCTGTTACTTCCCCTTCCCTCCTTGCACCTTTCACCCCTGGAAGTGGGATTCTTTGGTATGAAAACCTTTTCTTGGTTTTTGTCTTGTTTTGTTTTGCTCTCCTGCAGAACGTGACCTGTGTAATTGGCTGGTTTCCCTCAGAGTAATAATGTCCTGAGGTGTTTCACAGCTTAATCTTTCTTCTTTAACATTGTGTGTGAGGTTATGTATCCATTGTCTCACTGATGGGCACTTGAGAGATGTTTCCATCTGCTTGATACTGTAAGTAATGCTGGGGTGCGCATGGGTGTGCATGTATCTCTTGGTACTGTGTTTCAGTAGGATCTATGCAAGTAGCACAATTGCTGACCTATACAGTACTTCTATTCCTAATCGTTTGAGGAAGTACCAGGCGGCTTTCCGCAGAAGACATCGAGTTGGCCAACAGGTGTGTGAAGAAATGCTGGCAATCACTAGTCCACCAAGAGAGACAAGTCAAAACAACTGTGAGATATCACTTGATCCCGGCATTGATTGAGAGCACAATTCCAAAAAGCAGTGTTGCGGAGAGTGTGGAGAGAAGGGAAGCCTCAGACACTGCTGGTAGGGCTGTAAAGCATACAACCCCTATGGAAAGTGGTCTGGTGCTTCCTCACACAGTGAGACTAGAAATATCTACGGCACCACTTGACAGCAAAAGAATGCATCCCTGAGTCACTCAGGGACCTGGGGCTTATTTAGCGGAGCTCACCTAGCGGAGATTTCTGGTTTTTGGAGTTGTGAATCTGCTGTTTCAATAATTGAGGGGTTTTGTGTGTGGTTTTTCTGGTCTAGTCACCTGGCACACTCGGGATGATGCTGGTCATGTGTATGTTGCCTAGACAAACCCTGGTTTTGTGATTTGAAGGTGCCAAGAAATGTCGGCTTAGAAAGACGTAGTGTTGGCGTTATAGGAGAAGGTCCTTGTCTGGTAGACAGATCGCGTTTCAGCTCCCTGCTCACTACTGTACATCCCAGGCTGGTAACAGGCCTTTCCAAGCTCTGGTCAGAGGTGCCTGAGGGTGCTGGTGGTCCTACTTCCTTCCCCACCCCCACCATCAGACTTGTAATGGGGAAGAAACCAACTGAGGTGTGAGAGCAGATAGCAAGCACCAGAAAGGGGCAGCCCACCGAAGCATCCCTTGCCTGGCTGTTAAAGAGGACAAGGCCGGCACCCTGTTCCTGTTTTAGGGGTGCAGGCAATAAGCTCCCCTGTCACTCGTTGTCGTGACAGTGCAGCTCTGTGTCCAGAGGCAGCAGAGGGAGACGTCCCTGGGACATGGCAGCCTCGAGACCCTGGGTCCCCCTGCTGAGCTGAGAAAATCCTCCGGTGCCTGGTGTCTCTTTCTGACCCTTTGCTCCTGCCTCCCCAGGTTCTATCTCAGCTGCATGGGGTTCCCCACCTGCCGGTCAGCCGTGTGGTTTCCTGACTTCGTCCTGGAAGCCAGCAGGGATGAGAGTGTGTGCCCAGTGTGTCAGCCACAACCCATATACAGGTGAGTTGGTGCTCAAGTATGCCACCCAATAAAGTACAGACGGAGCCACCCAGGGAGCTGTCACTCAGGGGCACCTTAGAGTTCTATTGTACCCAGCGTCCCCGTGCTTCCCAGGGAGCATTTCCCCCGGACAGGTTGGACAGGAGGGCCTCTCCCCATATCATGACGGAACCCAGGAGACAACTTGCCCTACCCTCTCCCAGTAAGCCATTGCTCTGATGACCTTGGAAGCACGTTCACTTACAATTTGTGGCATTCAAACGTTAAAAAAAAACAAACTAGACCCACCGCTGACAAGTGGATACTAACTCACAGCAACCCTGAAAGACAGTCCCGCCGCTCCACGGGGTTCCCAAGGCTGCACGTCTGCACGGAGCAAGCTTCCACCTTTCTCCCACAGGCCAGTGGAGGGTTTGAATTGCTGACCTTTCAGTTAGCGACCCAGTTTCATCCCCTGCACCACCAGGGCTTCCTAATATAGACAGTGATGCTCAAAGATTGTGGTCGCAAAACCCCTTTACAAACTTTGATGTGGGTCATTGTGGGTTATGTCTCAATATATACCAATCATCGCAAAGCAGCCATTTCTTGTAAAAATTTCAATTTCTTTTTAAAAAATAACAAACAAACATGTTTACTATAACATGTTTTTATAGTAAAGTGCCTAGTTTTCCAAAGCCGAGAAAAAGGCAGTGTGCATTTATAAGTCTAACGTCAGGATAAGCAGGCGACTTCCTGCCTGTGGTTGCATTGAGTGGATGGCGTTATGACAAGTGAGGTTGCCGCTAGAAAACCCGAAGGTACACAGCTTGAAGTGGAAACACACCTGGCTCTTAGTGTCCGTGCAGCAGCGGTGTGCGCTGCCTTGGAAAGGAGCCCTGGAGCCCTCCGAGGCTGCTGCTGCGAGTGACACTGCGTGACCTCGTGACCTCCGTCTCGATGGTTAGTCAGGGCCTGCTTCCCATTGCTCCTGCACTGGGCTGTGCTCCTGGGGCACCTGGAAGAGGTTTGGTTTCCTCCGAGGACCATTCTCTGTGGACTGAGGAGAGGGCTTCTGTGTGTAGATGTTCATGGTTCTCCTGGTCTCCGGCCTCCCTAGGTTAAAGCTGAAGTTCAAACGTGGCAGTGTTCCCGCGACCATGCCACTGGAACTTGTCGGCTGCATTGGTGGATGTGATGAGACCCTGAGGGAAGTCTTGGACCTGAGATATTCTGGAGGGGCCCCTCGAACTCTCCAGACGGCCAGCCAGCCCTCAGGCCACTTGCAAGCCAGTCAGTCCCTGAACAGAATGGACAGAAGCCAGCACAGCCAACCCCAGGCTCCTAGTCACAGATGGACTGGACCACCCAGGGCTCAAACCCAGGCCCTCCCACCACCCCCTGCTGCTGCTGCAAGCAACTCCGTGACCTGCAACTGTGGCCAAGAGGCCGTGCTGCTCACTGTGCGGAAGGAGGGCCCCAACCAAGGCCGCCAATTCTACAAGTGCAACGGGGGCGGCTGCAACTTCTTCTTGTGGGCCGACAGCAGCCCACCGAGTGCAACAGAGCCGCCTTCCTCCTCTGTGAGAGCCCCTGGCAGCGCCCTGGGAAGTTCGCTGGGCTCGGGGAGCCACCTTGCTGGGCTGGGCAGACCTGGGAACGGTGGCAGTGGCGGCACCTCCTGCCTGTGCAGCCAGCCAGCCGTCACAAGGACTGTGCAGAAGGATGGACCCAACAAAGGGCGCCTGTTCCACACGTGCTCCAAGCCCAGAGAGCAGCAGTGCGGCTTCTTCCAGTGGGCAGACGAGAACTCGGACCCAGGTGAGGTGGGCCCCGGGCATGTCCATCAGCCCTCCTTTCTCGTGGTAGTCTCCACTTCAGGGAGCAAAACGGGGGGCAGGGGGTGTCAGGAGTGGGGATGGCCCCACGTGCAGTCCTCAGTCGAGGGTTGCTGCCTTCCTCCAGTATGCACTGTTGTCCCAACAGATGCAGTGCCCTGCTTAGGGACCCAGGGTGACAAAGCCAAGAGTAGAGCACAGGTCTGGATCCTCAGTCCAGGAATGGTGACTGCTGTGCTGGAACCGTGTTCTTAATATTAATGTGTAAAAGACAGCCAGCTCGGCCTTTCACACGCTTCAAACATGGGCAGGTCCTCATCCCACCCATGGACAAGAAGGGGCTGCATGGTTTCTGGCAGGCTGACTGGTGGCCGGGGGTCGCTGAGCAAGAAGGCCTGTTGAGGAACTGAAAAGCACCAGGGCTGGAAGGGGGGTCAGAGTGTGGCTAACCGCCTCCCGCACTGGGGACGTGCTGCTGGCAAGTAGCCCCGTGCCCTGGTGGCAGGACAGAGAGGGATGATGTCTTCTGCAGCTGGGTGGCCCTTAAGGAGGGCAACGAGGTCAGCATGTAGTGCCACCACCCACACTTGGATGGATAAAGTCCACAAAGCATTGCCCTCCCCCGAACCCCGTCCTGTGTGTCCATGCCTCAGTGGGTCCATGCTCAACGCACCCTTCCCCATCTGACCACAGGGACTACGGGAGCCACAGCCTGGCAAGGAGGCAGAGGGAAGGCCCAGGGGTCCGAGGCCAGAAGCAAAAGGCCCCGGGCCAGTTCTTCTACCACTGAGCTTATGACAAAGAAGCCCCGGAAATGCAGCCTTTGCCACCAACCTGGACACACCCGTCCCTTCTGTCCTCAGAACCAATGACAGCCTGGTCAGTAGGGAGGACCCCCACTTCATTGGCCCAGGGGCCACTCACTGCACTGGAAATGGAAGGGGTACATGGGTTTGGGAACCTGGCCCCCTGGTACGGGAGTGCCTTCTCACTGCTCCCAGGAAGTCTGCCTCTACTATACAGTCACCCTCTGCTCAGGTGCAGGAATGACCTGTGCACCTGCTGAGAAGTCCTGGGGAGCCTGAGACTATGGGTGAGCATGTAGGGGAAAGGCTGGAAGCTCAGGGCCCCCAGCTGCAGTTTCCCTGCTGTGGAAGGAGGGCAGAGGCAGGAGCTAGGTGCACAGCCTCAGTGCCTGGGGGCCACCATTGTGCTCGCCTGTGCAAGCTCCTGGTACAAGCTCCAGTGGCCTGGCCTGGCCCTGTGTGCCCACCAGACACCCGGAAAGAGTAACGTGATGCATGGATGCGGCTCCTCTTCTGAGCTGGTATCGATGGAGGACATGGGCACCACTGCACTCACGGTGCCCGCAGTTCAAGTGCCTTTAATGACAGACTCTTGTTCCTCGATGAGCGTTGGTGCAGTGTCTGGGGACATCTGCAGGAGCCATGAGGCTAGACAGTGGCCAGTGCTGACCAGTCCCCTTTCTCTTTGCCCCTGTGCCAACGATTCCACCTAGCTTCCTCCCGTCCCTCTTCCTAACCCGGGTGCCCCTCAGGGCAGAGAATGAGCTGTGCATTGCCCTGATTCACTGCTGGTTGGTGAGGCACCTGGCACTGTTCTCAGGTCTGATCAGGAGCTGCACCCTGGCTGCGCATCAAGGTGGACAACTTTTTGAATCTTCCCTCCCCTCCCACTGACGAATCTGTTTTCTGTGTCTTATGAAATTGCCTATTTTCTGAGTGGAGTCGTATTTGTTCATTCCACCGGGTTCCGTCCCACGTCGCAGCAGTAGTAGTCGCAGCAGTAGTCCACTGTGTGCGCGTGCCTCACTTCGTTGCATCTGTTGAAGGATGTTTGGTTTGTTCTGCCTCTGACTGTTGTGTCCAGTGTTGCTGTGAGTACTCATGTGGTTGTTGGAACGCCTGTTTTCAGTTCTGCCTGGCTCTGTACCGGGAGAGGGATTGCTGGGTGGCACGGTCATGGGAGTTGCCATTGAGCTGATTCTGACGCAGTGACCCCTGTGTGCAGAGTGGAACTGCTCGGTACGGTCTTCCAGGCTGTGTGCCCGTTCAGAAGCAGGTGGCCCGGCCAGTCTTCTGAGGACCTTCTGGTTTTGAATTGCTTCTGTGAGCTTGAATTGTTGGCCTAGTAGCAAGGCACGTAGTCAAACACTTGACCTTTTGCCACTCAGTGGGCATGGATACCAAATACCTCCACATCTTTGCCAGCACTTGTGAGTCTTTTTAAGATGAAGCCATCCTGGTGGGCATAGTGTTACCACAGGAGAGTTGTACTTTGAATTTCCCTGATACACACCGAGCATCTTTTCGTGTACTTGTCAGCTGTTTGAATATCTACTTTGGTAAAATACCCTCCAGTCCTTTACCTGCTTTTGTCAACTGGGTTATTTGTTTTTATTGTTGTTAGAATTCTTTATATATTCTGGACATTAGAGGTATTTTTGATTAGTAGTCCTTGCATACATAACTCCTCTGTGTACCTGGACCAAGAGCTGGATTCGACGACGACCAAAGGGTCGGGTCCGGGCTGGGCTCACTGCCAGCCTACTGGGTCACCTTGAGCATGGCTTCTCCTTTCAAGCCTCAGGTGCCTCATCTGGAATAGTGTTTCCACTCAACTTCGTAGTCCTCAGTGCAGGTTACGGTCGAGCTCAATTGCCATGCAAATTCACAAGTAAAACCTGCCATGGAGTTTTCCAAGGCTCTTTTGAAGACCCGCTCAGACTGGCAGCCTTCAGTGCAGTGACTTGGTCCTTCCCCACCTGAAGCTAGCTGGGTAGAGTGACCATCTACGGAACCCATCTTCTGCAGCTTGATTGAGACAAGGAAGAGCATGCCCACTCCATACTGAGGTGAAACACTGGGACCAGCATTTTACATGCGGTGGCTTTCAACCTCCAACTCCCCTTAAGACAGCTCTTTCTTTCTGTCCTTAAAAATAGTACAGGAGCTGAGAGGTTGAACTCCCCCCTCTCCCCCCTCCCTTCCCGGATGTCACAGCTACCTGACTGCTCAACTGCAGGTGAAAGCCAGTCTCTTGAGAGACCACACCTACCCCTCTGCACTGCCATGCCCAGGTAGAGGGCTTCACATGCCGCAGCAGGGAGCAACCTGTCAGGGCAGGAAGAGGAAGCCTCCAAGATACCTGCTTTTCCATGTGCCTCCTCCCACAAGAAAAGCACGTACCCCGACTCAAGCAACTCCCAGGGGAGTCTTCCTCCCTGGCTGATAACGCTCTGTGAGCCGGGCTCTGCCAAACAGTGCTGGTGCCCAGAGCTCTGTGACACTGGCAGAAACTGCTCCCACCAAGGTAAGGATGGCAGTGGCCAAACTACCTGCTGCAGCCAAGAATTAGAGAATGCGCCGCGTCCAGGTTCTCTGCACTACAACAGAAAGGTGACGTGGACCCTTTCCTTCCACCCCCCCAGACAGGCCCCCTGGGACAGACTGCCCCTCCCCTTCTCTCCAGGTCACTGGTTTACAAGCCTCGAGCAGTTCGACCTGAAACTCATGGGTGTGGTCTGCATAAAGGAAAGCGAGCCTGCTGGCACATCTGACTAGGCTGACTGGCCAAGGTGGCCAGCGAGGCAATGCCAGTCCAGCACCACCTACTTTGCTTGTGGAGAACACTCAGGCTTGGTCTCCCACAATCTAATGTCATCAACGAAGTGTTACCACATTACAGTCTAGGTGCACTTCATCGCAGACACTAAAGAACTTCCAGAGTGTTTATCTACCTGATGATAAAACTATTTGTTAAAAAAAACAACTGAAATAAACTTCTGGTTTAAAATGTTGGCCTGGATAGATGCACTATACAAACCCTCTCCAACAAACATGAGAATTCATGTGGAGCAAAAGTGGGAGCCCTGGGTCTGTGAGCAGGGAGAGGAAAACGGAGAGCTAAGCCCATACTCAGAGAACAAAACAGACAAGTCCCCAGAGTGTGACCAAGGGAGGGGACAGATCGGGAGGGCCCGCCACACTGCGCCAGACTGGGAGGCTGTGAAAAGTGGGGACTTGGCCCTCTCCCACTCCCAGAGGTTCCTGAGTGCATAGGAGGAGGGTCACAGGCCCATTCATTCTCAGTGGACAGGCTGCCAGAGTATGCGGTGAGCATTGTTCACTTTTTTATCACTAAATGAGGACGCTGGGACCTGTAGACGCCTGCTCTTGGCCCAGCCATTGCCAATCCTAGGACTGCTAGACGAGGTGCAATTGTTGGCCTTCTGGGGGTCTTTTCTCCTTTTCTCCCACTCATCAGCAAAGGTAAGCACCCCATGAAGTAGGGCCAGTCCCCACCCTACTCGGCACAGCCCAGAGGCGCAACCAGGGTCTTCCAGAATCAAGCGTGGCCTTTGAAAACAGTGGGCCCCACACATTACTGCTATGTGGGGCTGCAGCAGCTGCTGCAAAGACCCACTTGGTGCCAACAGAAGATTACCAGAGCTGCTTTGGGATTTTTCTTTTCCCTCTTTCGTCTTTTCATTTTGTTTATAATCTACTGGCTCCAGCCTGGAACTTTTTATCTGTTTATTTTTGGCTTATTTGTTTGCTTGGTTTTCACTGTGAGAGATTTGTCTTTTTTTTTTTTTTTTTAAGCCCTAACTTGCTCCACCTGATAGCTAGTTATTCTTACACTTCCAACCGCACAAGGACCAGGAACAACTACAGATCGACAAACACAAGTTTAGAGATACCACCGTGTCTTAGAGGCAACATTTCAATTGATATGAAAAAACAAGGCAGAATGGTGCCAACAAGTTACCATCTATGGAACTAAAAGGACCACCCTGAGGGAGATAAGCCGTTGGAACTACTAGAAGAGGAGTTCAGGTTCTTAGGTCTGTTCCACAAATGGAAAACTTTTAGATATATACAAATAAAGAACTTCCAGAAGAATTCAAGAAAACACTAAGAACAATATGACAAAATGAATGAAAAGTTATAACTCTAAGAAATCTAAAAGACAAATATTAAGATTTTAGAAATAGATAATACATTGAAAGAGCAAAACAATAGAATTGGAGAATTAGAAAGCCAAATTAATGGACTTGAAGACAATTCTCAATGTTAAGCTATGACAAAAACATCAAAATGTGTTTTAAAATATGAAGAAAATATCTAATAATTATATGGGACACTATCAAGAGCAATAATATATGAGGGGTACCCAAAAAAACGGAATTGTGCTGGGCAGAGCAGAGCTTTCGTAATACATTTTTTTCCCGCTAGGCAAGCATCAAGCAACTCACTCTGAGTTAGTACATCTAGTGGCATCACCTAGGAAGGTTCTCTATAGTCACAGTCAATTTTTTTGTGAAAGCAGTTTCACTTGAACCTCATTTTTGTGAGGGCCAATTTAAGAGAACAGCGTGCTGCTGTGAAATTTTGTCTCCTGCTTGGGAGAAATGCCACAGAAACCGTTGTGATGTTGAACACAGCTTCTATGGAAAAACTCAAGTGTAGGTGAGTAGTTTTCTTGTTTCAAAAAAGGTGAAACAGGGCTCATGAGGGAGGGGGGAGCGGGGAGGGAGGGGAAAAATGACCTAATGCCGGGGGTTTAAGTGGAGAGGAAATGTTTTGAGAATGATGTACAAATGCGCTTTACACAATTGATGTGTGTATGGATTGGGATAACAGTTGTATGAGCCCCTAATAAAAGGTCTTAAAAAAAAAAAAAAGGTGAAACTGATGGGTGACAAACCTCATTCTGGACTGGACATCTGCCGACTTCCCGAACGGATGGAAGTGTCCACTCAGTGCATTTGGAGCTCGTTCCCCCAGGTCAGACTGGAGGCACCGCTCAAGCTTTCTGTGTGTCACCAAAAGCCTGGATTGTGGCAGACGGGGCCCTGGCTTTGCCTCCACAACTATGCACCTGCTCACACAGCCATCTCAGTGTGCCAGGTTTGGGCAAAGCAACAGCCTGCCTCTCTTGCCCCACATACCTTGCTCCATGTAACTTGTTTCTGTTTCCAAGAAAGCAGAGGGACATGAAAGGACAGTGAGATTTGACAACGTAGAAGAGGTAAAGAAAAAGTAAGGGAGGTGCTATCAGCCATCCAAACAGATGAGTTTGAAAACGTATTAAGTGTAATGGAGCGTTCCTGGAAGGTGATAGGTTGTTTTGTAAAAATTTTAAATACATAGCTTTGTGGGGGAGGGGAATTTCCAGAGTCTTTTAGTGGGGTACCCCCTCATATACATGACAGGAATTTCAGAACAAGAAGGTGTGGTTGGGTGGAGCAGAGATGATTACCCAAGAAATCTTAATACAATCATAAAAGAAAATATCCAAGAAGCTGAAAGAACCCCAATAGACCACCAAAGAAAATCACTGAAAGGTCCTGATCAAACTTTGCAAAATCAAAGCAAGAATTCTGAAGCCAGCTCAGGAAAGACAAAACGTTACCTACAAAGGGGTAGCACTAAAACTAAGCTCAAGCTTTTAAGAGGCAAGAAGGCAATGAGATGACAAATACAAACTTCGGGGTGGGGGTGGGGGTGGGGATTGTCGACCAAAGATCTTATATTCAGATCTTATGTTCACTTTTACTTATATTCAGTAAAATTATCTATCAAATCTAAGGGAGAAACAACAGCATTAAAAGTTGGGAGAGATTAAAGTAATTCATAAAAGTAAGACCAGTCTTAAAAAATTAAGGTGAGTTCTTTGGATAAAATCGACAACTACAGCAGACATCAACGTGAGATCAACACAAGGTAACACTAACCAGAAACCTAATCATAGTAAACAAAACGAGACTGAAAACAGGGATCCAGAGATGCCAATCTACAATAAAGACACTTAAAAAAGGGGAGGGGGAATAATCTAGATGCCAAACGTTCTACTAGGAAGATTTCAAGAGAACTGGCTGTGTTAAACTTGGGAACGAATGAATAGGAAGAACTACAGAGATAGTGGATAAACTGCATCAAAAACAAAAAGGGAAAATAGCTCTAGTAAAGCAATAGCGAAGGGAAAAAGAAATGACATGAAAAATTACAAAATTAATTCAGCACAGACAATTACAAGGAACAAAGATGCCAACAACCACACACAACGGGACAGTGATAAATTCATGCCTATCAACAACTGAATATAAATGGATTAAAGTCAAGAGACAGCAGAATGGATAGAAAGCAGGAACCATCAATATGCTACTTACAAGAAACATACCTTAGACACAAAGACAAAAACTAAAATTCGAAGGGTGGGGAAAATATATCAGCTAATAGTAATTTTTTTAAGTCGGGGTGGCAATATTAATCTCTGATAAAATCATCTTCAAGGCAAAAGATAGTGCCATAGAGAAGAGCATTACGTAATGATCAAAAAGATAGTTGGACAAGAGGACATAACCATAATAAATGTCTCCAATAAAGGACAATAACCCTAACCAAACTCTTACAGATTTACAGATTGAAGCAGACAACACTGCAATCGGGACAACACACCACTCGAAAATGAGCACAACTAGAAAGAAACCGAACAAAGAAAATCTAAACACAATTTGACCTCTCAGACCAGTGGTTCTCAACCTTTCTGATGCCGCGATCCTTTCATACAGCTCCTCATGTGGTGGTGACCACCAACCATCACATGATTTTTGTTGCTCCTTCATCACTTTTGCTACTGTTATGAATCAGGCGACCCATCAAAGGGTTGCTTGACCCCCAAAGGGGTTGCGACCCACAGGTTGAGAACCACTGTCAGCATAGGATTCTTTTCCAGCACACATGTCCTAGCCCTGAACACGCTATCTTTCCATCTATGTAGGTCTCTTTTGGTTTCTTGTAGTAAGCGTTCATCATTTTCGTTGCCCATGTCTTGATTTTTCTAGGTACGCAAATGCCCGAAAATTTCATCTTTTTTTTGGTGGCTATTGGAAATGGTATATTTAGACCCTTCACTTTGCCCTGCCTGCCTGGTTGGCATCATCCTGGCATCAGAGAAGAGTGAGAAGAATTCAGCACATTTAGCAGAGCCTGGGCTGGGCCTGGGCCAGGTCCTGTGAAGGTCCTGGTAAATGGTGGTCTGTTTCCACTTCTGCTCTGGCAAAAAACAAGTGTGGGGGTTTTCCTTGGGTAGGTGACACAGCTATAAACACCTTTTGCTCCCTGTTAACTTGAGCTTAATCGCCTTTGCTGGCATGGATTCTAAAAAGTTCAAGTTCGCAGAGCATAGCAAACTACACAGCAGAAACTTCGGACCTAAAGTTTTTTCCTTATTGAAACTTCAGGGCTTAAGGGAATTCAGTTTCCCAAACCAAGAAGACCTCACAGAACAGATTGCTCACTAACTCAAAAAACTCAATGCCAAGTCCATTCTGGTTGATAGTGACCCTACGGGGTGGGGTAGAACTGCCCCCATGGGCTTCCAGGACGTTGGGGGAGCAGAAAGCCACTTCTTTGGGCTGATGGTTTCAAACTGCTGACCCTGCAGTTACCCATCCAACTCATAACCCCTCTGCTACCAGGACTCTATGGCGAACAGCCCCTCTTTTCCCAGGGCAGGGTAAAACTGGTCAAGGGAGCAGTAGCGAGGCACAGACTGTCGCCCTCGCACCGGAGAGCTTTACCAGCCAGCACTTAGCCCCAAGCCCTGCAAAGTAGGTTGAAGGCTCAGTTTGTACCGACGAGAACACAGCCCTCTCCCCCCACTAATGTTGCAGAAGTCTAGATAAGGCCCAGTGCTCCTCAACTATGTCAGTGGAACCCAGAGAAGTCACTCACTCTGCCCATTGGGTCCTCTGCTTCGAGTCAGCAAGCCTGCCTCACATGGTCATCTCCTACCGTTAAATTGATCCAACACAACCCTGTAGGACAAGCTAGAACTGCCCTTGTGGGTTTCTGAGACCATAACCCTATGGGAGTAGAAAGCCTCCTCTTTCTCCCAAGGAGAGACAGGTGGTTTCAAACTGTCGACCATGCAGTTAGCAGCCCAGTATGTAATCACTTCGCAACCTGGGTTCCTCCTCTCCATCTCTACATGCCCCGTAGTCTCAGGCTAAAGGGAGGAAGTCACTTCTAGGAATACACGGGGACAGGGTAGGAGGAACATAAATGACAGTTGTACTGGCCACATGGATACATGCCCCAGAGCTCCCTGCAGCCAGGCCAGTCCTTGGTTATGTGTGGTGATAAAGTGAGTGATAGTGGGGACTTTGATGGCTTCCTTATGTGATTTTCCCACCTGTGCAAGAGGAGGCAGCGATGTGAACTCGCTTCCACAGGAAGTTGGCAAATTTCCAGAAGCTTGGGAAACTTTGTGTGCACCTCAGGGCTCCGGGATGTCGGCCTACCAAGGGCAGCTACGCTACCAGGAATCTCCGAGCATCCTCACTCCAAATGTTCTATCTACTGTTCCATTGAAATCCTACCACCTCGCTGCTGACCCCAATCTAGTCTGCCAGGCTCCGCCATAGAGGACCTTCCAGAAAAAGTCCACACAGCTGCACGGTGATGCCTACTGCCCTTCCCAGCACGACTCTCACGTATTTGAGTACTGACTTTTTATTCTTGTTCACTCTTTTGGATTTTTTCAGCAAGAAGGGCATCTGAGAGATGGAGGCACTGGGGCAGGAAGGCTCTCCTGTAGCTGTCACCTGACAAACACACACACACACAAAGGCAGACCCCTCCGGTAGCTGCCACTCAAGATTCACCGAGTCACTGACTGTACCCACACGAGGCTCAAAGACAGCGGGTGCCTAAGTCACAACAGTCAACCATGGAGAGCAGTTCACTCTGGTGGGAAGCTAGTTTGGGCCCCCAGCCCAGCCTCTGCTTGCCAGCAGGTGGTGCAGAGCTACAGCACAGCCTCGAGCTCAGGGTGCGGTGATTGGCAGCAAGTCTCTCTGCCCTTCCTGCGAGGATGGGTCCTCTGCTGCCCGAAAAGAAAGGGCATCTAGTTGAATGAAAAGGCATATCCCCAACAAGAGATGGGTAGAAGTCACACCCATCTCCCTCTCACACACGGCTCAAGAGAACACCACACACAGACAACACAAAACACCATCCTTTTAATAGTTAAAATCCTTATCCTAGGCACACGAGGCATAGCCCCTGGGCAACAACACACAGAACACCTGCTGGCACCCAAAGTCCCAAAACTGCACCCCAGGAAATGCTGGCTCTCAGCAGAAAAACAGGCTTCCCTTCCAGCACCACTGGCTGGCAAAAGCCACACTCTCCGTGGGTTCGTTGCTGGTGGTGATAGACTGAGTGTGGGGGGGGGGCTGGGCTAACTGGTTGTCACTCCAAGTTTTAAAGCAGCAGCCTAGCCAAGCACAGTGACAGTAACGCAAGCTCTCCCGCAGGTCCAGGCAAGCAGGCACCTGGAAGTCCGTGTGCTCAGGAAACACGCCGTTCTGTTTGAGCAGACGGCACAGAAGGGTGCCTTCTGAAGCCCTGGGAGGGAAGGGCGGGGCGGGCAAGAGCGAGGCTCACTGGCAGCAGAGCTGGTGCTGGCCATACCCTCCCCAAAGCAGCTGCTCGGGGGCCTGCAGCCCGCTGTACAGCACATAGCCAATGCTGTCAATCTCCTCCTCACGCAGGTCACCCAGGAGGTTCACCCTGGGGTTGAAGTGGCACAGCAGGCGGGCCTGCTCCAGGGCACTGATGAGCTCCTCCAGGGCCTGCAGGAAGCGTGAGCCCAGGGCGGCCTCGCTCCAGTCTCCCTCTTCCTCCCCTAGGTGCAGGACCACCTGGGTGAGGTGGCCCCGGCCCAGCCGCCCCAGGGCTGGGTGATGGCAGCAGATGCCACAAAGTAACCGCAGGAGCCGCTGACGGGTGCCTGAGTCTTGGTCATCCAGGGTCTGCAGCCGGGCGGCTTCAGCCTGGTAGAAGTCTTGCAGCCAGAGGTTGCTGGCCAGGCCCTCCAGGGGCCAGGCCAGGAGCAGGAGGTCACCGGCTCCGGCATCAGCCCCAGCGATGGCAGGCAGCACAGCGATGGTGAGCTCCAAGCCGTCCTGCTGCACCTCCAGCAGCAGCTCCTCAGAGGTCACACTGGGCCGGACCACGCATCCCAGAAGGCTGCCGATGGCTGGCCAGTTGACGGAGACAGCCAGTGCCTTCCGGAGCAGCTCTAGTAGGAGCTGGGCACCCAGGTAGCCGCCCACCAGGAAACGGTCCCAGGGGCTGCTTCCCCGGGGGCAGAACTCCAGTTGGGTTCGGCGCACGGCCCAGCAGCGAGCGTCCCTGGCCACGGTGTCGGCCCCTGGCACCAAGCCCCACAGGCCCAGCTCCAGTCGCAGTGGCACCAGGAGGCGCACAGGCTCAGCAGCATGGCCCTGCAGCCCGTCAAACAGGGGCCCGCCAGGCTCAAGGGTTCTGAAGGGCAGTTCTGGGAACTTGTTCCGCAGGAAGGCCTGAAGTTTGACACTGATGTCTCGGGTCAGCTGCTGGGCCACCATCTCGTTCACTGCTGGGATGCCCACGTGGTCCCGTTCGAATGCCAGCAACTTCTCCTGGAAGGTCAGGCACAATGGTGCTGGGGAGCCGTGCTGAGGTAGTGTCCAGGGACCAGTGTCGCCAGGCCCTTCTGCAGAAAGAAGGGGTCAGGGAAACGTTACCAGCACAGCCCTGGCAGGGCCTCCACCCACTCACTAGCTGAAGAACACCTCAGGCCTTGTTTTGCTTACCTGTAAAGTAGGAATGCCAGCAAGACCCCCTCCCATCTAGTTCTCGCTGTCTCTACCTCTGACCAGGACTGGGTTGTGGGTTCTGGTCTTACCCCTGGGCAGGTCCTGCCTGCTCAGTGTTCCCACCTACCTCTGTTGTCCCACCTGAGGCTTCTCCCAGGTTCTCACACTCCTGCCCTAACACTGCTGGCTCGCCCTGGTACTGGGAGGTCGGAGGAGAAATGACTCCCTCCTACACTGGGGAGAAAGGCGGAGGTAGTGCCTTGCCTGTGAAGGAATATTGGCTCCTCCATTAATGAGAAAGAAGCCCTGGTGTTGGAGGGGTCACATACTGGGCTGCAAGCCACAAGGTCAGGGGTGTGAAACCACCAGCCACTCTGTGATGAGAGGGGGCTCTCTACTCCCCTAAGAGTTACCATCTCTGAAACTCACAGGAGACTGTTCTACCCTGTCCTACAGAGTCGCTATGTGTCAGCAGAGACTTGAGTTTGGTCTTTGAGTTTATTGAGAGACCTAGCAACTTGTATGGGGTCACACACAAGCCAGTGTAAACTCAGAAGGCCCTGTTCATGCTAGGTCTCCCACCTGGGTCACCGGGAAGGAGAGCTGCTCACCTGGAACATCAAGTGAGGGAGCTGGGCTTGGCACAGGCTGGCTAAGGGCAGCAGGCGGGGGCCGGGGTTGTGGGTGTGGCGTGTCCCTGAGCAGGCTCAGATCCTTCCAGCCATCCTCCAGGCACGTTGTATCACCCTTGGCCTCGTCCTCCTCGTCCCGCGGGCTAGTGGCTTTGTCAATGAGCTGCAGGCAGAGTGGGCACAGAGCAGAGCATCTTAGGCCTGGGCAGTGGCAGCCAACCCAAGCTCAGGGGTGGGCGCAATAGGCCAGGGGTGAGGGAGGCTCCCAGGCCCCAGGCCTTGCCCAGCCCTGGGTCTCCTGTAAGCCTGTGGGCAACCTTGCCAGCCTTACCCGCTTTACGGCCAGGGTGGCAATGCCCAGCACAGCAGCTGCGCCCACCCCCAACACCAGGCGGGCGTTGACCAACAGGAAGTCCACGGCACTGCCCAGCACAGCATCATCGTGCCGCTTCCCCCGCTTCTGGGAGAACTCCGCCATGGTCAGCCTGTGGAGAGCAAGGGGAGGGGCGGAAGGGAGAAGGGCACAGCTCCAGAGGGGAGCCCAACGCCAGGATCACTAGTGCAGGCGGGCAGGGGGTGGCAACCACTAGTCACAGGGAGGGCTTATTGAGAACTTCTCAGGAAATAGATCACTTGCAGTTTCTTGGGAGGAGAGAAGGGGGTTCTACCCAAGGCCCCTCCCCCAAACAACCTGGCCTCCGGAAGGGGGGCTCACATAGGTGGTGAGGTCTGTGGCAGGTTAGAGGAGCACCCCCTTGCCCACCTGCCACCAAACATTTGTGAAGAAGGCTGTATCATCATCATATTTACAAACAGTGAGGACATGAGGATGTGGGCGAAGCCTTCCGTTTCTTAGTCCCCCAAGGGTCTGGTCAGACTTCTGTCCATGTAGCCAGCTTTCAGCTGCCCGGCCTGACGTTCCTAATCTGATTGCCAATCTACTTTGTGTACCTAAGTCCAAGGAGAGTTGGGGGTCCCAAGCAGACTGGCTTGTGACTGTCAGAGATTCCCAGACCTATAGTGGGGACCTCAGTGAAACTCTGGAACTAGTTATACACCCCCAAATCTTGGCAGTGAGACGGTCTAGCCCAGCAGAGACCTGCCTGCACGTGGTCAGGTGCAAGCTGAGGAGGAAGGCCCTGCTCCTCGCTTGTGCTCTCCTGAGAGGGTGAAGCCCCCAGGGGCCTGGCCCAGGCAGGGCAGCACAGCAGGGTCATGGTCAAGGCCTGAGGCACCAGCCTGTCTCTTTAGCACAGGCTGGGCCTCGAGGAAGAGGATGCCTGAAAACACAGGGCCAAGCACTGGGCAAGTGGGAGGTTCGTACAGCTTTCTCCAGGGGTCCTCCCACCATGGTCTCCGGTTCTAGGAAGGGAAGTCAGGCTTCAGGCCGTGTCCACCAAAGGGGCAGCTGGGTGGGGAAGGGCTGGAAGGTTTGAGTTAGAACAGCTTAAGGAGACCAGGGCCGGTGACCCTGAGTCACAGCCAACTTGGCCACCATGGACCTCTGTCCTCCCTGTCCTGTACCTCGGTCCACGGGTGAGGTGGGGCCTGGGTCAGCTGATGGCCAAAGCTAGGCATGACTCAACCCAGGCACCCGCCCACCCATGCCGACTAAAAATAGTTGAGGACACACGGGCCCACAGGTCAGCCGGGTGACCCGGCACTCGGCAGCCCAGGGATCCACCCTGCACACTGTACGGAGCTTTCCACACTCCCACCCGTCGGAGCTGGGGGTCGGCCCCGTTCCTGCTGGGTTCACGCCGGCCCAACGCGCAGCCTTCCAACTCGGGTGGCGGGACCCCCGTCTGCGCGGCCGACCCTGGCAGCGCCTGGGCCACCGCCTGCTGGGTGACGCCGCCGCTGAGGCGTGGGGACCCTGAAGCCCCGGGAAGGGGCAGAGCCCAGGGTAGGGACAGAGCCAGGAGTCGAAGTCGGGCCGCTGCTTTCCTCCGCGGCCCGCGGGGCAGTCAGGCCACGCCCCCGACCGCTTCTGAGCACGCGCCGGGGTCACCGGGCAGTCGGCCGCACGCCGGCCCTACCTGCGTCGCCGCTCCGGCACACGCAGCGGAGGGGCAGCGGGACCTCCCGGCCCCGACACCCTGCTCGGCTGCGGATGGAACGGCCAGGACCCGGCAGGGAACGCCGAGGCCCCGGGAGGGCGTAACCCCTCCAGGCACGCAGACGAGCAGTCAGTACCTCCAATCAGAGCGCGCGCCTTCCAGCCCACCTTCCAAAATACGGCGCGGCTCGACCAACCGCGGGCCGGCCACGCCCCCTCGTCGACGTCGCTTTCCCCAGGAGGAGGGACGTCGCTCACGCACTCGTTTAAAGGTGCAGGCCCGCGTGCGGACCCCGCGAGGGCCGAAGGCAGGCTCCCTGGCTCCTCGCGACTCAGTCAGCCCGGGTATCCGGATGGGCGTCCGTGGTGACACGGTTGTGCTTGTGTGGATGAAACCAACCGGGCTGCGTTCCTTCATCGTCAGGCGAACACTTCTGGCCTGTAGGCCGCAGTCCCACCCCTTTGGGGCTGCTAGCCCGCTGGTCAGTGTTCGAACCCATCAGCCATTCTGTGGGAGAAAGATGAGGCTTTCTACTCCGGGAAAAGTTTACAGTCTTGGAAACAAGCAGGGGCGGCTCTACTGCCCCTAGAGGGTCGCTAGGAGTCGGTCAGAATTGACCAACTGGCATTCCCTTTTAGGCTCGATCACCTTGCCTCTGGCGCTGACCTCGGTGGCCAGCGTGGCCAAGAGAGCCCACTGCCGTGACTTGCCCCGTGTGACCTCACAGGGACCTTTTCTTCCCCCCAGCCTCCTATAACCGCTGTGAAATCCTTCTGCGTTTATTTCAGAGACCTCCTGAAGCAGACAGGCAAAGAAGGAAGCCTCCTTCTAAAGTTGGCAGTGAGGTCCGGCGAGTAAGCAAAAAAAAGGAACAGCAAAGTGGGTGCTGAAAACCAGCAGGAACCACCGTGACCTGCCACTTAGAGCGAGCTGGCTGTCTGCAGCGAGCTACACGCGGAATTGCCCTGGAAGCATCTTGCAGATGAGAAATCCGAGGTCCCCGGGCGGGCCAGGCTCTCGGTCCGCCACCAGCTCCCGGGCGTAGCTGCAGCTTCTCTCCCGGGGTCTGCAGCAGCCCAGGGGGCAGTGCCTGGGCCGCGGGCCCGGCCACCCAGCCCTCGGCCCGCGCCCGGGCCCCACGCAGCCTTCCGGCGGCCGCGGGCGGGTTAAAGGGGCGGGGCCTGTCCGGGACCGGCAGGTCCGCCTTCCGCCCGCCCGGTCCGCCCTGCGCGCCGCCCGCCGCTGCGAGAGCGGCGCCATGGAGGCCACCGGGGTGCTGCCGTTCGTGCGAGGCGTGGACCTGAGCGGCAACGACTTCAAGGTGAGCCGCGCTGCCCCGAAGCGCCGCCGCCGCCGCCTCCGATCGGCCGGCCGCCCGCTTCTCCTCCCCGCCGGCGGCTGGGCGCGGCTCCCTGCGCCCGGCCGGAGCCCCGGTGCCAGGCTTCCCCGCTGGGCCGGGCCCCCTGACCTAGGCTGGAGGGCGGGCGACGCTCCCGGCCCGAGCCGCGCCAGGGCCTGGGCTGGGAGGACGGGGTTCTATCTGGGGGCCCCCGTTCCGGGGTCCGAGCCCCGCCCAGCCGCCTCCACCCCCGCCCTTCTGAGGTCACACGCCCTTGTCAGGTCCTGACTCACTCACTGCAGGGCTGCCCGGGGCGGGGCTGGAGCCCGCAGCCGCTGCCCTATCCTGCCCCTGGCACCCCAGCCTGTGTGGTCTGGCGGGGGCTGGGGCAAGTCGTCCACCCTCTTGGGACTTGACCAGCCATGGGACTTAACAGGAGCTCGGGGAGTTGTGAGGATTTTGAGAAGGGAGGGTGTCAGGCAGGTGTGCAAGGCCCTGGGACCAGTGACCGCCCTCTTGGGGGTGGGCCTTCAGAGTGCTGTGGCTGGAATTCGAGAGGAGGAGGGGACCAGCTTTCCCCCTTGCTGACCTGGGGCAGCATCCCTGTAGGAGACGTACTTCCTGCATCTACAAACTTTCCACTTGCCAGAGTGGGCCACTTTGCTGCTCTCTGCCCCCACCTCCACCTTGCGCCCCAGGGGTGTCCTCTCTGCGTCTCCAGCGGGGAGTGTGGTGCCCACAACCCTGCTGGTCTCAGAACTGGTACGCTGAGGGGCAGGACAGCTACCCAGACTCTACAGGCTAGTGTAGGGAGAGAGAATGAGGCTGGATGGGGTGGGGAGCTGGGCCTGGCACTGTGAAGATTGGACTTGGGGCATGGGTAGCATCAGTGGCACAAACAGGGCCTCCCAGTCAGGACCGGGAAAGCTCTGGAAGGAATTTGGGCCATGCTGCACCCCAGTGCTGGGTGTCACCTGCAGCAAGCTTGTTTTCTCCTGTCACCCCACCCCAGACCTCAGAACCTGGTGAGAGAGCTAGCCACCCTTGGTTAGTCCATCCCCCGAACACTTCTGTCCATCACATGGGGGCTTTCATGAGCTCCACTTGGTGAGAATTGAGGCATAGTGGCGAAGTGACTTGTCCAGCGTGACCCCCACTGCTGAAAAGTGACCCTATTGGCTCCCAGAGGCTCCATTGAGGAGTGGAAACCCACCCACCCCACCCCCCCCCCCCACCCCACTGAAGGTGATGGAGTTGAAGCACCGGAAAAGGGGCTTTGCATTGGCCCGGCCCGGCCCACCACGGTATTTCCCTCCCCCAGGGTGGCTACTTCCCTGAGAATGTCAAGGCCATGACCAGCCTGCGGTGGCTGAAGCTGAACCGAACGGGTCTGTGCTACCTGCCGGAGGAGCTGGCTGCCCTGCAGAAGCTGGTAAGGAGCTCCAGGTGGGTGGGGAGGGTCAGTGGGGATGAGACTGGGCCAGACAAGCGGAGACTCCGCAGAAAGCAGCTGACACAGAGTAAGCATGCCTAGAGCTGCGATCGGAGCTTGAAGAGAGGTGAGTGAGCACCCTGTCCTAGGAGGTGTGCAAGAAGAGACCCGAGCATGTGGAGGGAGGGAGACTGCAGTGGTGGAGTACACCTGTGTAGCAGTTGGCCCTTGTGGATGGTGGTGGACAGGGACCCTGTGGCCATCCCCACCCTCACCCCACTAAGCCCCCGCTGTTCTGTCCTGGCCCAGGAACACTTGTCTGTGAGCCACAACCATCTGACGACGCTTCACGGGGAATTGTCCAGTCTGCCGTCCCTGAGGGTGAGTGCTGGCAGGGAGGCTATCAGCCCTGGGTCTAAGGGTGGGAGAAGGAAGGACGCAGGCCAGGGCAGCCTCTTGTGGGCATAGGAAGCCGTGACTAGAAACGCCTATGAGGAAACGGGCTCAAGTCCGCCCCCTCCCGGGGCTACAGCAAGTCGGTCCCAGTTGGTGAGTAGCGTTTTCCACCTTATCCTGGCCTCCACCTGTTTCACAACGAGCCCTGGTGGAGCACCGGCTAAGGAGCTGAGACCGGCTAAATAGCAGCTCCATGAGAATAAGATCGACAGCCTGGCCGCACCGAGAGAGCAGCCGGGAACATCCCACGGAGCAGCTCTGCGCGGTCACAAGTCGGAATTGGCTCGGCGGTGTTTTTAAAAAAGACAACAACTGCTTTCACTGATAGGAGACTCAAGCCCAAAGACCAGGCGCCCACACAAGGTCACACGTGGGTCCAGACAGGGGCGAGCCAGGGCCAAGAGGAGTTTGGCTGGCAGAGAAAAGATGGTTCTTGTTCTAGGCTCTGGGGCACATTTGAGTTGGGCTTTGAGGTGTCGTAGGAGTTCACTAGAAAGCAAGAAAAGGCCCAGAGATTGAGAGCACTCGGGCTGGCCTCTGGGGACTTCTGGAGGAGGCCTGTGTGCTTCTTTCTGGGAGTGAAGCCCGAGAGTCAGGGCGCCCTCATGCTTTATCCCTAGGCCATCGTCGCTCGAGCCAACAATCTGAAGAACTCCGGAGTCCCCGACGACATCTTCAAGCTGGACGACCTCTCGGTCTTGGTCAGTGGTTGTCCCGTCTCTCCACAGGCCCTGACCACTCCGTCCCCAACCACCTCATGTCTGTGGTCTCTGGAGGCCACTCTAACCCTATTAGACAGAGGGGGAAACTGAGGCACCAAGTGTGAAGTGCCTGGCCCAAGGCCCCTCAAAGAGAGCCTGGGCTGTCTCTTGCTACCCACTACTCCCCACTCAGGACCCTGCCTGATTCCCTGGGCTTGGCCGGAGCCCGCCTCAGGGGCCCCAGCCCCCAACACCCCTGACCAAGACCTTGGCCCTCCCATGCAGGACTTGAGCCACAACCAACTGACTGAGTGTCCGAGGGAGCTAGAGAATGCCAAAAACATGCTGGTCCTGAACCTCAGCCACAACAGGTGCTGGTCCCGGTCCCACTGGGCGGGAGCGCAGGGTGGGAGAGGAAGCCAGGTGGGCGGGCTGGAGATGGGCGTCTAGGCCACTCAGCTGGCCCTCATTGACCCCCTCCTGCCCCGCCCTCTGGCCACAGCATCGACAACATCCCCAACCAGCTCTTCATCAACCTCACGGACCTGCTGTACCTGGACCTCAGCGAGAACCGCCTGGAGAGCTTGCCGCCGCAGATGCGCCGTCTGGTGCAGCTGCAGACGCTCGTGCTCAATGGGAACCCGCTGCTGCACGCCCAGCTACGGTCTGTCTGCCCAGCCCCCACCCTTGGCTGAGACTCGCCACAGACCGCTGTGTGTAGCCCCGTTGCATTAAGGCCACTGTCACCTGAGCTTCTCTGGGCCCTGGCTGTGCCCCCTTTAGACCTCGCCAGTTTCTCCCGGGTCTGCGAGGCCGCAGGGCCTACCCTTTGGATGGACTCAACGGCTCCCTTCTACCTAAATAGTATCCCCCAATTAAAAATAAAAAATAGTATCCCGTCAGACCCTGCGCTGCAGCCCCCGTGACCAGTGCCCAAGGCAGACTGCCACATGCCTACCCTTCCAGACGAGGCCCTGCCCTACTCCCCTGGGCATGGTCCCAGCCCCCTGGCCCTGAGCACCTGCCCTCCTGCCTCTCTACAGGCAGCTGCCGGCTATGCTGGCCCTGCAGACGCTGCATCTGCGGAACACGCAGCGCACCCAGAGCAATCTCCCCACCAGCCTGGAGGGCCTGAGCAGCCTCACAGGTCAGACCACTGCCTGCTTCTCTGAGTGCTGCCCAGGGGCAAACTCACTAGGGTGAAACTGGGTATGGTATGGCTGCCGTGGGGCCTGCTGTGCAGAGCTGGCTGACCCTGTCCTGCACTCCCGCAGACGTGGACCTGTCCTGCAATGACCTGGCCCGGGTGCCCGAGTGCCTGTACACCCTCCCCAGCCTGCGCCGCCTCAACCTCAGCAGTAACCAGATCGCAGAGCTGTCCCTGTGCATAGACCAGTGGGTGCACGTGGAGACCCTGAACCTGTCTCGAAATCAGCTCACCTCACTGCCCGTGTGTGCAGGGCCTCGGAAGGGAGGGGTGGGGGTGGGGGGGAGTGTTGCACACCTCCAGCCCAGCCCTGACTCCCTGCTCCCTGGCTGTCTCCCCTCCAGTCAGCCATCTGCAAGCTGACCAAGCTGAAGAAGCTGTACCTCAACTCCAACAAGCTGGACTTCGACGGGCTGCCCTCGGGCATCGGCAAGCTGGCCAGCCTGGAGGAGTTCATGGCTGCCAACAACAACCTGGAGCTCATTCCAGAGAGCCTCTGCAGGTGCGGACCAGGCGTGCCCTGCAGGTGCAGGAAGTGCGCTCCTGGCATAGCTTTCCCCGCCCCACGCCATCTTCCTGGGCGATGGGGAACGGGAGCAGGCTCGTTCGTGGGGCTGTGGCAAAAAGGCCTCCCCACTGGGGGTTTTCCTTTGGGAGCTCGCAGGCCAGATGAAGCCACATGGGTCCTCCTGTCCCTCCTTGGAGGCCACAGAGCCCCCTCTTGTGGTCTCTGGCCCTGGCCAGGCCTGCAGGCAGAGAACGGGTTGTGTGTTTCAGCTCTTTCTGTGCCCCTTGGTCACATTCAGGGAGCCCTTAAATCCACAGAGGCCACTTTGGTCAATGCTGCTTCAGAAAAGCGGCCAGAAGAGCCTCCCAGTCACTTTACTTTGAAGAGGCTCCTGACTCCAGCAGCTCCAACTTGCCCCGGCATTTAAAACTCACTGCGTTCTTAACAACCTGACTGCTCAGTCACTGTGGGCCCTGCCTGCGTGTGCTCCCCAGGGAGGAAGAGCCCCTGCCCCCCTCGCCCCACCACCGCCCTCACCCAGCTCTGTCTCCGCAGATGCACGAAGCTGCGGAAACTCGTGCTGAACAAGAACCGCCTGGTCACCCTCCCAGAGGCCGTCCACTTCCTGACAGAGATTGAGGTCCCGGCAGGGCGGGGCTGGGAGTGGGGAGAAGGGAGGGGCGGGGGCAGAGGCAGGGGCATAGACTAGCTCAGCAAGACGGGACCAGAGGGCTGCGCTTTGAGACGAGGGGACCTTGGGCAGGGATGGGGGACCAGGGCTGAACAGAGCACTAGCCTTTCTTGTCGGAAGCCTTTCTTGTTTTACGGCCTTGGACAGTGAGGCCTCTCTGGGCTTTGTCCCTCATCTGGACCCGGCTGTGACCCTCCCCTCCCAGCCCTCAGAGGGAAAGAGGCCGCCACTAAGGCCAGACGGGCTCTAGGAGAGGGCAAGCCGCGTGGCTGTGGTACCACATGACCAGCCACATTTCACAAGGGTGGCCACAGCTCCCATCACTGTCACGGCCGCCACAGCTGCACACAAAGCAAGAGAGCACATGTGGCATGTCCAGAAGATGGGACCTGTGTGCCCCTCTGCTCACCCCTCCCCCACCCCGAGGCAGGTTCTAGATGTGCGGGAGAACCCCAGCCTGGTCATGCCACCCAAGCCCACCGACCGCGCCGCCGAGTGGTACAACATCGACTTCTCGCTACAGAACCAGCTGCGGCTGGCAGGCGCCTCTCCTGCCACTGTGGCTGCAGCAACAGCTGGTGAGCGAGGGGCCTTCCCAGGAATGTGGGCCCCGAGGGATAGTGTTGGCCTTGGCCGTGTGGCTGCCCGGAGCCAGCCAGGGCTCAGCTGTGTGCCCCACCCCACGCAGGCAGTGGGCCCAAGGATCCCTTGGCTCGGAAGATGCGGCTGCGGAGACGCAAGGACTCTGCCCAGGATGACCAGGCCAAGCAGGTGTTGAAGGGCATGTCGGACGTGGCTCAGGAGAAGAATAAGAAGCAAGAGGTGAGCCGGGTCGGGGCTGCGGGGGGCAGGTGGTCCAGGCCTCTGCCCCAGACAGACAGTGGCCCGGGCCAACAAGGAGAGGGGACCCTGAGCTGAAAGAACAATTGCAAAGACCCTGGGGTGCGTGCCCGGGTGCGTGCCCCGCGGAAACCTCTGGCTGTGACTGTGTGTCCAGGAGAGCGCAGATGTCCCAGGACCCGGGGGGAAGGTGCGGCGCTGGGACCAGGGCCTGGAGAAGCCGCGCCTGGACTACTCGGAGTTCTTCACGGAGGATGTGGGCCAGCTGCCTGGCCTGACCATCTGGCAGATTGAGAACTTCGTGCCTGTGCTGGTGGAAGAAGCCTTCCACGGCAAGTTCTACGAGGCGGACTGCTACATTGTGCTCAAGGTGAGGGTGCGGCCCACCCAGCCTCCGCCTCCCACACCCATAGTGCCCTTGCCTTAGATGGCCCAGAGCCATAACGGGAGGGTGGGGCTCTGCAACGGGGAGCAGGCAGGTAGGGCAGTGGGACCCAGTGGTGACCTCTTGGGTGGGTCAAGACCCCAGAGTGGTCCAGACGAAGGCCGACACGGTGGTGTCGGCCCTCAGACCTTTCTGGACGACAGCGGCTCCCTGAGCTGGGAGATCTACTACTGGATCGGCGGGGAGGCCACCCTCGACAAGAAGGCTTGCTCAGCCATCCACGCTGTGAACCTGCGCAACTACCTGGGCGCCGAGTGCCGCACCGTGCGGGAGGAGATGGGCGACGAGAGTGAGGAATTCTTGCAGGTGCCTGCCCATGAACAGTCCTGGGGTGGGATGGGGTCCGAGGGCTGGGCCAGGGGCAGGGGTGGCGGAGCAGAGGCTAAAGGTGGACATGCAGGGGGATGAGCAGGGAGGGAAGGGCCTAGGGAGGTAGGGGGATGGGATAAGGTCCAAGGTGATGGGCCTGGGACCCGGAGCTAGAGTCAGTAGGGTATAGATTGGTGGGGCTGGGAGGCCAGGCCTGTGGGCATGGCTAAGAAACTAGCAGGGAGTCAAGGCCATAGCCCTTAGAGACTGGGCTTGGCGGGCAGCTGGACCTCTAAGGAGTCTGGGCTTGAATGGGGTACTGCATTGGGTTAGCACACTGTGTACCCCCACTCCACCTCTCCCATGAAGACTGCTCTGGATGCCCCCAGGTTGGCACTGTCCCCGGGCTCCTGGACGTACACGTCTAAACGAGACGTGTGTGTGTGTATGTGTGTGCGCGCGCGCGCACATCTTCCTGCACACACCTTCAGGTTTTTGTCTGGTCTCGTATTTGTGTGCATTAGTGAATGTAGACACTGCTCTCAGCACCTGGCTCACCAGCACACACACATCCTCCCGCCCAGGTGGTATTTGGTGGGCTGCTGGGACAGCTCTGTGGTGACCCACACCCTCCCCCCAACACACACAGGTGTTTGACCATGACATTTCCTACATTGAGGGCGGGACAGCCAGTGGCTTCTACACAGTGGAGGACACACACTATGTCACCAGGTGAGCGTGCTGGGGGCAGGTGGAGTGGGGAGCAAGTTGGCATTGGCCTGGATTCAGTGGGGGAGGGGGTTGCTGGGAGGTCAGCCCTTGGTACCCCTTCGGAGCTGTTTGTGCCCTGGCCCCAGGATGTACCGTGTGTACGGGAAAAAGAACATTAAGTTGGAGCCTGTGCCACTCAAAGGGGCCTCCTTGGATCCAAGGTGAGTCCCCATGGGGGAGCTTTCCCCCCAGCCCCTTCCCCACCCCTGGGAGGCGGACAGGGGCTTCCTAGAAGGAGAGGCCCTTGGACAAGCCCTTGTACCCCTGCCCCATGGGTCTGGGCAGAGGGTCCCTGCTACCCCACGGTGCCCAATTACCACCTCCGCTCTACCTGCCCAGGTTTGTTTTCCTGCTGGACAGAGGACTGGACATCTATGTGTGGCGGGGATCCCAGGCTACGCTGGGCAGCACCACCAAGGCCAGGTAGGAGCCCGTCCTCCACGTGGGCATTCTAGGGTGTTTGAACCCAGAAAAGCTCCTGCCTGCCGTCCCCTTGCTGGCCAAGGCCAGCTGGAAAGGGGGCCAGCGCTCACTGGGGCTCTGCGTCCCGACTCCCCAGACTCTTTGCAGAGAAAATCAACAAGAACGAGCGGAAGGGGAAGGCAGAGATCACACTGCTGGGGCAGGGCCTGGAGCCGCCCGAGTTCTGGGAGGCACTGGGTGGGGAACCCTCGGAGATCAAGATACATGTGCCTGACGATTTCGGGCCGCCCTCCCCGAAGCTGTATAAGGCAAGTGGAGTTGGTGGGGGGACGGACGGGCTGGCCCTGGCACCTCTGAACTGCCTGTGAATCCCCCTACTTGGGCTTGGGTGGGGTGAGGGCGCTACCTTCTAGACAGGATTTGGGCAGTGGCCAGGTTGGAACCAGAGGGTGCATGTTTATTGGCAGGTGGTGGTCTGGAGGGGAGGCAGTTCTAGAAGCACCTGGGTGACGGGCCCCATGGGTCCCTGTGAGCAGAAGGACAAGTCCAGAGTGAGAGACCGCAAGCAGTAGGGAGAAACAAGGTGGTCATTGTTTCAAAACTACCCTGGGGAGGAAACCAAAGTTCTGAGCAGCTGGTGCCCAGAGCTCCACAGACTCCAGGTCACAGGGCTAAATGGTTGGGCCGTGTCCCTTGAATCAAAGTGCCCCTCGTCATTTCCGCCTCTGCGTCCCACCAGGTGGGCCTGGGCCTGGGCTACCTCGAGCTGCCACAGATCAACTACAAACTCTCAGTGGAGCACAAGACCAGGCCAAAGGTGGAGCTGATGCCTGCCATGCGCCTGGTGAGCGTGCAGGGAGCCGGGGGCAGGCTGGGGAGGCTGCTGGGCAGCTGGCATTGACCCCCAAGCTCTGGCCCACAGCTGCAGAGCCTGCTGGACACACGCTGCGTGTACATCCTGGATTGCTGGTCCGACGTGTTCATCTGGCTGGGGCGCAAGTCCCCTCGCCTAGTGCGGGCAGCAGCCCTCAAGCTGGGCCAGGAGCTATGTGGCATGTTGCACCGGCCACGCCACGCAGCCGTCAGCCGCAGCCTGGAGGGCACTGAGGCGCAGGTGGGCAGGGCCACACCCTTTGCCCTGGACCAGCTGCCAGCCCCTCCCCTCAGCAAGCCCTGCCCAGGCCCCGCCCTCTCCGCCACCCGTCCCACCTACTTTTGCACTCAGTTGTGGGGTCCGGCACTCCCCACACTAACAACCCACCCCCACCCCGCCCTCTGACCTAAGGCTTCCCTCTGAGGCCTGGGCCCCACCTTCCATGACCCCAACCGTTAGCTCAGCCCCTCTGCTCGGCAGGTGTTCAAGGCGAAGTTTAAGAACTGGGACGACGTGCTGACGGTGGACTATACACGCAATGCCGAGGCCGTGCTGCAAGGCCAGGGCCTGGCCGGGAAGGTGAAGCGCGACACGGAGAAGAAGGACCAGATGAAGGCCGACCTCACCGCGCTCTTCCTGCCGCGGCAGCCCCCCATGGCCTTGGCCGAGGTAGGGTGGGTGGGGCTCCCGCGGGGCGGGGCGGGGCCTGCAGAGGGAGCCGCAGGAAGCACAGCAGGCCCGCCTCGCCTCGTGCAGGCCGAGCAGCTGATGGAGGAGTGGAACGAGGATCTGGATGGCATGGAGGGCTTTGTGCTCGAGGGCAAGAAGTTCGCACGGCTTCCGGAGGAGGAGTTTGGCCATTTCCACACACAAGACTGCTACGTCTTCCTGTGCAGGTGCGGGACCCTCCCCAGGGCAGGGGCTGGCGGGTTTGGGCCCCTGCTCACGCCCTGACCATGCAGGTACTGGGTGCCCGTGGAGTACGAGGAGAAGAAGGAAGAGGAGGAGGAAGAGAAGGCCGCGGCGGATGGCAAGGCGGGCGAGGAGGCCGCGGCGGAGGAGAAGCAGCCCGAGGAGGACTTCCAGTGCATCGTGTACTTCTGGCAGGGCCGCGAGGCCTCCAACATGGGATGGCTCACCTTCACCTTCAGCCTGCAGAAGAAGTTCGAGAGCCTCTTCCCGGGCAAGCTGGAGGTGCGGGGCGCCGCCCACCCCGCCTTCCTGTGGTCCCGTGGGGAGGGGTCAGCGGGTCAGAGCAAGGGAAGGGGACAGGTGCTGAGGGTGCCACCTTGATACCCCTCCCCCAGGTGGTACGCATGACGCAGCAGCAGGAAAACCCCAAATTCCTGTCCCATTTCAAGAGAAAGTTCATCATCCACCGGGGCAAGAGGAAGGCGGCCCAGGGTACCCTTCAGCCAAGCCTCTACCAGATCCGCACCAACGGCAGTGCCCTCTGCACCCGGTCGGTACCTGAGGGGTTGGGTGTGTGTGTCCGTAAATAGGCCTGGGGATGCAGGGCCCCCTAACACCTGCAAATTACTTGGCCAGGTGCATCCAGATCAGCACAGACTCCAGCCTCCTCAACTCTGAATTCTGCTTCATCCTCAAGGTGGGGACATGCCGGGGTGGAGGGAGGAGCTGTTGCAGCCAAGGAGCCTGCTGCTGGCTGGAGCAGACTGAGCCCCTGTACTCTCCCAGGTTCCCTTTGAGAGCGAGGATAACCAGGGCATCGTGTACGCATGGGTGGGCCGGGCCTCAGACCCCGATGAGGCGAAGCTGGCCGAGGAGATCCTGAACACCATGTTTGACGCCTCCTACAGCAAGCAGGTGCTTTGGGCGAGCAGGTGGGCAGGAAGGCAGGTAGGCCGAGGGCTGGACTGACTTTCTCCCTACAGGTCATTGACGAAGGCGAGGAGCCCGAGAACTTCTTCTGGGTGGGCCTTGGGGCCCGGAAGCCTTATGACGACGATGCTGAGTACATGAAGCACACTCGGCTCTTCCGGTGAGATAGGCGAGGCCCAGCCCCACACCCAGCCCAGCCCCTGTGGGATCTCCCAGCCTCACCCTCTCCCTCCCCTCCTCGGCCACAGGTGCTCCAATGAGAAGGGCTTCTTCGCGGTGACCGAGAAGTGCTCTGACTTCTGCCAGGATGACCTGGCCGATGATGACATCATGCTGCTGGACAACGGCCAGGAGGTGAGCCGCCTGCCCCTCCAGGCCAGCGCAGGGGTGTGGCTCTGACACCTTTGGGACCCACCCCTCTTGCTGTTCCCGCAGGTCTACATGTGGGTAGGCACCCAGACAAGCCAGGTGGAAATCAAGCTCAGTCTGAAAGCCTGCCAGGTAAGCCGGGTGGAGGGTGGGCTGAGGCGGGCTGGGCCAGACGGAAGCCTGGTAGCTCAGGGTCCACACCCCACCTGCCTCCAGGTGTATATCCAGCACCTGCGCTCCAAAGAGCAGCCCCGCCGCCTGCGCTTGGTGCGAAAGGGCAACGAGCAGCACGCCTTCACCCGCTGCTTCCACGCCTGGAGCGCCTTCCGGAAGGCCCTGACCTAGGGCAGCCTCACAGCGCCACCCCACCTGCCCCCAGCAGTGCCCACCACCACTCCAGGCTCTGGGTGAGGGAGGCCCGGGGACCCTCTGCCCTCCCACCTGCTAGAACCAGTCCCTGCACAGCAGCCCCAGGGCCCAGTCTCCAGCAGCACCAACATGGGTGTCACGCCTGCAAGGTGCCCTCGGAGCTGGGAAACACGGCTCCTTCCAGTGAGCAAGGGTGTGAAGCCCTTCCCCACCTTGGTTAAAGCAGGCATCTTTGCCCTTGGAGATATTAAATGCTTTTATTTTCAATATTAAAAATCAGTATTTTTAATATTAAGACCACTAATTTTAACAAAATGACATGGAAAAAAAAAATCCTGGTACAATCTACAGGAAAACCCACTCTGACCCCTATCCCACACACCGCCAACTGGAACTCAGTCCATGTGTGTACTCCTGGGGGTTGAGGGCCTGGATCAAGTACCAAAATAATTTTAGAAATGAGTGCCCAGCCCAGGCATTAGAAAAATACTCTCTGCAAAGGGAGGAGGGAGGACGGCATGTGGAGCACCTGGCCTGTCAGCGGCCCAGCCTGCGTCTGCCTGCTCCTGGCCCAGGGGGGGTGGGGGGTGGGGGCAGGACACAGGTCCAGTTAGCAGGGGGTGGGTCTATGTTAAGGGGCCGGGCAGGAGCCAGGGGTCCAGGGCTGCAGCTCCAAGCAGGACAGGCGGTGGTCCGAGACTCCTGGAGGAGGAGGCAGAGCCAGGCCGCACAGCTGCCCCTCAGCCTTCAGTCAGTGAGGACAGTGACCTGGGGCGCACTTCGAGGACACCGGGTTGATAGCCAAGCACTAGACCGGCTCTGTCCCACGGCGGCCAGGGCCCTGCCAGGGAGAGGACTGTTGGGGTGGCTGTCCTGGTATAGGCTGTGCCGGGGTGGGGGTGGGGTGTGTTTGAGTGGTGACAGCACCAGATTTCCAAGTGGGTGGGGAGATCTGCAAAGCCAAGATGGGCGCCCCCTGCTGGCCCTGTTCAGTAGGCCTGGCATGCAGCACCTCTGACCTTGTGAGGAAAACCTAGCCACCTGTATTTCATTGTGACCCAGCCTTGTCCTAAACAGACCCCTTGTAGCCACACACCACCACCACCCAAACTCTCAGGAAGCGGGCCTGCCAGGGCTTCAAGTGGAAGACAGGAGTGGGGAGGCCGTAGGGCTCAGATCTGATGCCCAGGAGGAGGAGGCTGTCGCGTGGTTGGGCAGACCGGGGCCGCCTTCCAAATACCTCATTTGATCAGAATGGGGCAACTGCAGGCCTCATCTTGCACCGCGTTCCTCACGTTCTTCTGGGGATCCTCTGAGGAGCTGGGGGGGCAGTGTGGTGATCAGGCCCTGGGTAGGGGCTGGCACCAACCCCTCACAGGCCCTGAAAGGGTGTCAGACCTGCCTGCCAGGCTCACCCCAAGAAATCCTTCACATCCTCCACCGTGACGTCCCCCGTCGTGTCCAGCGTGGTGTCGGCGCTGGTGGCAGAGTCCACGGACAAGGGTGAGAGCGTGGCCTCAGGTGGCTGCAGCATGTCTGGGGGGCGCGGCGGGGGAGGATCAGGCCCTACCTGGACCCCAAAGCACTCTCCACGCTAGGAGACCCAGATGTCCCAGCAGGGATCGAGCACATGGTCCACATCTCTCAGGCCCCAGCACAGCCCCTTCCTCCCCTCCAGGCCGCCCTTCCTCCATACCCCCAGCTCCCTTGCTTCTTGCAGGACTGGGGCTCCCGTCACAGCTCCGTGGGGCCAGGATGATGTTCGGGGTCCCGTTCGCCTGGCTCAGCTTGGGTGACTCGTGGAGCCTATAGCTGCAGAGATGGAGGCTGTGACCGGGAAACCCCTGCCCTCCCACTGGGGCTCCTGGGACAGGGCAGGCTTCCACTGGAAAAGCCTGTCTCATGCACAGGCTCCTCCTTCCCCACCCTCACCTACCTGGCACAGGCGGTCCCTCGGGGGCAGCAAATATCCAGCGAGCACAATGGCTCGGTGATGTTCCGAGCACTGAGGGAAAAGCGTTCAAACTCCGACGGGGAGATCAGGTAGAAACCTGCATGTGGCAGGGCAGAAGCCTGAGGAGTGCAATTAGGAGACCCCCTTCAGGTGCCCGCTGGGCCCACCTGACCCCTTCTACGAGCCACCTGGCTGCCCACACCTTGGCCGTGGCGCGTGAAGACGCAGGAGGCGATGGCGCTGATGTCCTCCTTGCGGATGCACGGGTAGTGCACCTGGGGCCGCAGGCCGGGCACAGAGAACACGTGGACATCGCCCAGGTTGGTCAGACAGGCCAGGCAGGTCTCGGCATAGTCCTCACAGGCCACGCTGGTGAACGTGGCCAGCGCCACCTTGCGCACACGGCAGCCTTCGTGGGCTGTCAACTTGAACTTGGTCTTGGCACTCACCTTGGGCAGAGTAAACACCTGGCGACGGAAGGCCAATGAGCAGAGACCGGCCTCGCCACAATTCCAAGACCCTGCCCGCCCCCCACCTCTGGCCACCTACCACTCACTCAGGCTTCAACCCAAGCAGCTCAGGACCTTCCAACTTCTAAGCACAATGCCCGCGCCACCCCTGCCACCACCCCCACTTCCCATCCCCATCCCTCCCAAGCTTCCTGGAAACCTCCCTTCCGATAGCCAGTGAACTTTACAGATGCCCCAGGCATATACCCCCACCCCCACCCAACCTAGAGTCCCTGTCAGACACGGCAGGTGGGGGGGGGGGCCGCATCTCGGCAGGCTCAGAACCCTCAGGACAACTGCAGGGAAGGGGTCTCTGGTCAATGATGTGGGACTGTGGTGGGGGAAGAGGGCTCAGTGGGGAGGGGCAGACAGAAAGGGGGTGCCCAGAGGAGCCCAGGGGGAGGGTGACACGGGTCGTGGCAGCCCACCTTGAACTGCTCCTCAGATGCGATGAGCACAGCGTGACCACCCTGCATGTCAGGCGCCTGGGCCAGGTCCCGGGAGGCCTCATAGGGTTCTGGCAGTGGGCGGCCGTGCCCGTCCAGCACCGAGATGGCCACCACAGGGGCACGGTGCATCAACTGCACCTCCTTGCCCAGCACAGCCTCCACCGCCCGCTCAGGCCGCTTCTCGCTGCCCGCTGTCGCTGTCGGCACCTCCAGGGCATAGGCAAACACGGAGCCCGAGTTGGTGCCGGCCCACAGCGTGGGGCCGTGGTGGACAGCTGCAAGGGCGGGGCTCATGAGGGGCTGCAGAGCCGAGAGCCTGCCTCCCCATCACCAACTCCTCCAGAGGACCCTGTTCATGTCCCCTCCTAACTTGAGGCTCAGACTCAGGATGGCCTCGTCCCTGTCTCCATCCCCCTACATTCAGGGGGCCTCGGATACCACCTCTCTCCACACTGACGCCCAGCCCTAGCCCCTGACCCAGCCTTCTGCCAGCACCACCAGGACACTTCCCAGGACACCCAACGAGCCCCTCCAATCCCACCGGCCCCGAATGGATGAGGCTCTCTCACCCCTAAGTCCCCACTCCACCCTCCCTCAGCCACAGTACGTGGAACTCCTCAGACCCTAGATGCCAACAGTACTCAACCCTCTCACTCCCACACCCACCACCTCTCGGTGGCATTGCCCAACAGAGACGGGCTCTAAGTTCTGCTCCCCAAGGAGAAGGCTGCCTGTGGTGTCTCTGCCCGGACAAGCCCGTGGCCCGGCCCTGCTGCTCCCTCCCTGCTGGCCTTCAGCTTGCTGAGGGGCAAGAGGGAGCTGGGGGTTAAAATAAGGAAGCGCCCAGGTCTGAGGCACAAAGAGGGAGGAGGCTGGAGTCTCCCACTGCCAGTCATGCACCTGTGACTGTATGGGTGGCCGGCAGGCCAAGGCAGGGTGGTGTATATCACCAAGAACAGAGCCCAGGCTGCTCCCCTAGCACCCGAAGTGTGAAGATGTGTGCTGTGGGGAACGGGCTCCTCGGGCCAGGAGAGAGGTCCCCTGGACGCACGGGGATGTGTATCGGGGTAGTAGCCATCAGCAGAGCCCAAACCCAGAGGACAAGTCCCTGAGCTCTGGCAAGGAAGCCCCACCCAGGAAGCCTGCCCTCTCCTGCCGGGTCAGGAGCAACACGCCCTGAGCAGGTCAGAGAGCATGGGCTGTGGCAGCCGGACCCAGAGGTGGGGGAGCGACCAGACAAACTTCCTCCACCAACACTACACAGGGGGCTCCTTTCAGACTGACACCAGGACGCCCAGCACCGCGCACACGCCGTGCGGGGCTGACTGGGATACCCAGTGCAGCGCCCCCCCCAAGACGGCGTCCCTGAAGTGATTGGGGCGTGCCTGTGAGGAGCCCTGGTGATTCCACCATGCGGGGCTAACTGCTGTTCAAAACCACCAGCCACCCTGTGGGAAACTAATGGTGCTTTCTACTCCTTTAAACCATTACCATCTCACAGGACACTCAGAGGGGCAGTTCTGCCCTGTCCTGCAGGGTCGCTACGAGTCGGCATCCACTCAGCGGCAGTGACTCTGGCCTGTTCTGAGGCCTTGCCTGCAGTGTGAGCGGCGGCGCGTGGGGCCAACACACCCCTGCTGGACACAGGTGTTGACAGCAGGTCACAGGAATGAGGGGCAGGGCAGCCTGGCAGAAAGCTGCTGGCCTGAGGGGGAGAGGGCCCATAGCCCTCTAGTCTGTGCATCTGCGACTCTCCATTGTAATCCAGTCACAGTCAACCGCTAAACACACGCCTGGTGCTTCCTGCCAGAGCCCCCACCCCACCTTCTGCCCTGATCCACAGGGCTCCTCCCACACCAAGGTGCCCCCTGCAGGCACTGCACTGGCCGAGGCCGACCTGCCCTCCCAGAGCACTCACCAACTCCTTCCTTACCTTCAGAGAAGCTACAGCCCTGTCCCCCCCGCCCCCCAGCCCCCGGCCCAGCCTCACCGTCACGGAGGAAGGTGTCAGCGAAGTAGAGGCAGCGCACCACCCCAGAGAGGGAGTCGTCCGCCGAGCGGGGCTCAATGCGGCGCTGGACAGGTGCCACCTCCAAGTCGTGGGGGCAGGCCTGCTCTGCCAGCTGCGCATTGGCCTCCTGCAACTGGGGGGCGGGGGGAGCAGGGCCTGAGCGCCACCTTCCTGCCCGTGGCCCCCCCCCCCCCCCAGCACGGTCTATTTCCTCACCCTCCTCAGCCCCCTTCTCTCAGTCGAGGGCCCGGGCTGCTGCTGGGTGACGAACCACACCAGGTGAGCCAGGCCTCGTTCGCAGCAGCACCCATGGGAGACGCGCCATCTGACGGCCTCCGCCCGCCTGGGCCGCTCACCTTGCTGTTGGCGGTCACAGCCCGCTTCTTGCCGGAGACCCGGCTCTTCCGAATGCGCCGGAAAGACTGCCGCAGGGACTTCTTGAGGGACTTCACCCTTGAGAGGGGCCCCTCCATGGCCAGAGAGTCGTTGGGGTGAAGGGTGCACCTGGAGTCAGGGGAGCCAGTCAGGAGAGGAGGCTGGGTGGGAGGGCCCCTTTACCGGTGGGTCTCAACCTTCCTAATGCCACCATCGTTCCTCATGGGCTGGTGACCCCCCAACCACAAAAGTGTTTTCTTTGCTACTGTGATGAATCAGACGAGCCCTGCGAAAGGGTCATTTGACCCCCAAAGGGGTCCCCACAGGTTGAAAGCCACTCTCCTTGCTGACTCAGCACCTAAACACACCACTCTGAGCTCTCGACTCACAGCGACCCTCCAGCACAGGGTAGAACTGTGCATGCGCCTTTCTGAGACACCCCCCCCCCACATACACAACTCTTTATGGGACTAGAAAGCCTCCTCTTTCTCCTACAGCGCCCTTAGTGGTTTCAAACTGCTGACCTTGCAGTCAGCAGCCAAAGTGACAACCTACTCCACCACCCATTAGCACCGCCTTTGAAATGCTTCTCCGTATTCTTTGGCTTTATCTGAGGCCTGCTGGGAGCCTCAGCAGAGCAGAGGCTCCGCCCCCCTCCTCCCTGCAGGGGCCCCAGGGATCCTCTCACCACACCTGGCCAGCACAGGGCTCTTGCACTGGTAGTCAAAGAGACCAAAGCCGTGACTGGTGCCAAAGGCCACGAGGCCCCACTCCGTGTGCAGCGTGACGGCGGTGACGGCAGCAGGCGGCAGGCACTGCACCAGCACGCGGGGCTGGAAGCCGGCAGGCCAGGGCAGTGGCCCCGTGGTAGGGCCAAGCCGGTCGTGGCCCTTCCACGTGAAGCCCTCTCGGTCCTGGAGGAGGTCCACGCTGGCCACGCTGAGCGCCCGCTCAGCCGGCATGTCACTCAGCTCCAGCACCAGCACCTGGGCGGTGGTGGAGGGAGCGGGTCAGTCCACAGGCACTGCCAGGTGGGCCCAGGGTTGCCTCCAGTGCTTACTGACACCAGGGCCCAGGCTGAGCTCTCAGGGTCCCTGAGGACCCTGCCCTCCCATCTTCCCCTGGGGAACCCCGTGTGCGCGAGCGCCAGGGCACAGCGGCGAGCAGGGCCTGCTCCCAGGCTTAGCACCTGACAGAGCTGTATCTGGATTGCCTGACATTGCTCATCCAGAAGGGGGCCCACCTCCTCTCTATCCTCACTCCTCTACTGCTCCAGAGAGCCTCCCCAGGGAGCCCTGGTCCTGGGACACCCCTCTGTCCCACCTGGCCTGCAGTGCCAGCCACCACCATCTGGGCTGTGTACTTGCAAAGCGCCACCTTCTGCACGCCGAGCCGGGGATCGTCGCTGTAGGGGTCGAAGCAGCCCACCTGGGGGAGGAGGGAGTGAGGTGGACGGCAGGCCAGGGTGGCTCTGCAGGCTGGTGGGACAGGTACGGACCTTTCGAAAGGGCGGCCAGTCGTCCTCAGCAGCCTGGCCCAAGCTGTCGGCGTGCTCAAAGTCCGTCTGGAATAGACCAGCTGTGCTAAGCTTGTAGAGGGGCTGCAGCGCCACACCAGAGGCGTCCCAGAACCGCACAGTGCCGTCCTCATGGCTGGGGGCGAGGGGGCGTCAGGGCCATGCGAGTTCTCACCAAGTGTGCACATGTGCACACATACACACCACACACACAGCACCCACAATATGCCAGGCCTTGACCCTAGTCAGCAGGGTAGGAAGGCAGGGGTAGGGGGTGTATGGAGTTGTCCTCTTTGGGGGCACAGGGCTGAGCTAGTCACAGAGCAAAGAGCCAGCCTCCTAGGAAGGGTCAGTGTGGCATGAGGCCGGACTGTGGACCAAGCAGAAAGACAGTGGGTGAGGGGTGGCAGGAGGAGGAGGAATAGACCAATCGAGGGGACAACCCAGACACGGGGGATCCCTAGACACTGGTAGGGATTGGACCAGGGCATGGGATGGAGCCTGAATCTTTGGGGCTGGTTGGAACACCACCCCATCCAGCAGCTTGTGTTGGGGAGGGAGCCCAGAGGCTGGGGGGTCCCAGCAGGGACCAGGCAGGAAACCTGGGCCTGAGTCCCCGGGCACGTCAGCGCCCGCCAGGCCCTCTGGAGCCTGCTCTGAAGAGCTCAGCGTGGGTCAGAGTAGATTTTCCGGTCCCAGACAGGCAGGTAGGTGGAGCCCTGAGATTTGGCAGAGCACAGTTCCAGGTCAAAAGGCAGGGTGGGGCGGGCCATGGACTGGGGTCTAGGGAGACTTTCCAGCATGGTGCAGTGGGGAGTGACTTGGCCCCACAAGGCTGGGCTGAGTCACCCACGCATCGGTAGTGGGTACACATACACGCATACGCACACACAGACATAGACACAGGTCTGCCCTACCCGGTCAGTAGCAGCCCACGCTGTGATGGCTCCTGGGCCAGGTTCCGGCCCCCAGTAATGGGCCAGCTCTAGGAGAAGGAGGCAGAGGGCTGAGTGAGCTCAAGGTGGGGACAAATGCTTTCTCCCCAAACAGTGTCAGCACCCCCCACGGACACCTGCCTCATGCCCCCCTCCGGTCTGGCTGATGGTGCCACTGCTGGGACAACCCCCCCCCCCCCACCTGCCCAGCAGGTTGCCCGGGGCACACACTGAGGCACTGGAGGCAGGCTGGGGGCTCTGCTTTTCGCCCGCGCTCACGAGACGGGCCCACAGCTTGGCAGGGACGTTGGCAACATGGGCGGAGCAGGTGATGGCGGATGAGTGCAGCGGGGCCAGGTACGGGGCGGGCAGGGCCGGCCAGCCAGGAGTCTGCAGGTCCAGCACCACCAGCTCCTCCTCCAGCAGCACAGCCAGAGCCTGGGGGTCGTCGAAGTCTGTGGAGCAGGCGGCAGGGTGAGTCCACAGCGGGCAGGGAGGCAGGCGAGCACAGGGCAGGGAGCGGAGGGCACTCACCGTCCTCAGGCCGCATGCTGTGCACCGTGAAGAAGTCAATGACGCGGGACGTGAAGTCCAGAGTCACCAGGGTCTCGGCCTGCAGCACACTCACGCAGTGGCGGTCTCCATAGCTGGCCCGTGGCATACCACCGCTGAAGATGAGGAAGCGGCCCCTGCACAAAGCAGCAGCCATAAGCACATGCTACCCCACCCGAGCCCCCCCCATCCCACCCGCTCCTTCAACCTACCCAGAGCTACCCCCACCCCACCCACTCCTTCAACCTGTCCAGAGTCCCCCCACCCACCCGCTCCTTCAACCTGCCCAGAGCCTCCCCCCCACCCAGGCCTGCTCCTTCAACTTACCCTGACCTGCAGTTTCTCCATAGAATCTTGTTGATGGCTTTGCAGGGGAAGGGACCTGGGGGTGGGACAGAATGTCAGGCCCACCTGAGCCCGTCTCTCACTGCAGCTCTCAGCCCCACAGCTGAGTCTGAACACTGCTCCCCCGCCTAAAACCTTGCAGGGAGTCCCAGCTCTCAGCCCTGACCGTTGGGGAGGTGGGCAAGTCTCATCGTCCACAAGTCCTCCTCAGTAGAGCCCTGAGGGCCTGGATTGGGGTGCCATGTCAGACACCTGCCCCCGTAACCCTCTGCTCCCATGCCAGGAGGCCCCGGGCACTCACCGTAGGGTGTTGTGGCCTCCGTAGGCTGCAGCACCAGGGAGCTGCCTGAGCCCACAGTCCAAACGGCGTAGCTGCCATCGCTGTGGGAGCTGACGACAATGCCTCCGGTACGCTCCCAGCACAGGCTCTCCAGCTGCTGTGGGGCAGCCAAGCAGGGCGCTGAGCGGGGCCCAGGGGGCGGAGTGCAGGGCGTGACCAGGGCACCCACCACCTACCTGGTTGCCCAGGAAGACCCGATCCACGCAGCGGGCAGCCTGGCTCCAGATGACCAGCAGGCCCCGGCTGTAGCCAATGAGGATTTTGCTGGGGTCGTGCAAGTGGCCCTGGAGAGACTCCACGGGGCCCAGTGCCTTCCCGCATCGGTAGTCTTCTGGAAGGCTGCAGGTGGGGATTCGGTGAGGCCGGAAGGCAGCATCCTGGCTGCAGGGCCACTGGGGTCAGGCACCACCACCTCTCACCTTCGCAGGATCTCCTCCGGGCCCAGGGTCTGGCCCTCGAGCAGCGTCAGTGTACCCACATCCAGGAAGAAGACACTGCCACCCTCGGTGCCCAACGCTGCCCTGGCACCATCAGCCACCAGCAGGACTACAGTGACCCGGGAGAGACTGGGCAGGGAGCTGCGGGGGAAGGGTTAAGGTTGCTGGGAAGGTGCTGGGGCGCTGGGCTGCCACTGCCAGCTCCCGGCGGGCCCCACTGCACATGGTGTCTAATTATGGAGTGGGCCAGTGGATGGGCAGGCAATGGGGACAGCTCTGCACATCCTAATTAACCTGCCCAATTATTCATTGGGACGTCTCACAGAGAGGAATAAAAATAGGTTCCCCAGGTCTGGGAGGTGGGTAGCTCCTCAGCTCCTTCCACCCACCAGAGACTGGCCCACTAACCTGGGGCTTTCCACCACCTGCCCTTGGGACAGACATCCCCTGACCCCACTTCTCGGGGAGGCCAAAGGGCAAGCCAAGCAGCGGGTGGGGTGTGTGTGAAAGCCCAGCCCATTCCAGCCCCTGCTGTGATGGGGCCAACCAGGCTCAAGGAGGGGAGGCACCACACCCCTAGCTGTGTGCCTGCTCCCAGGGAGCACCCCCACCTCGTAGCATCTCTTGTCTCACAACCACCCATGATGGTCTTTCCTTCCACCCCAACTAAAGGCCCTTGAGGGCCCTCACTGTCAGGTCTGCACGGCCCTGCCCCAGCCTGCTCCCCAGGTCCCCCACCATCCCAGGGACACAGCACTAGGCAGCCCTGCTCAGCTGAGCTTGTGCGCTCTGGGGCCCGCCCTGTGTCCCACTGCTTGTAGCAGTCAGAGGCTCCAGCAAGCGCGGCTGTGTGCACCTGGCACCTCCCCTCGTGCCAGAAGGGGGGAGTGGGGGGCAGCACCCACTAGCACTGCCAGAGCACATGACCAGAGCCTGGGGGCAGCCCCGACACAACCTTCCCAAACCCGCAGCCCAGCACTGGTGGGTCTAAGCGCGCCACCCTGAGTAGGAGGCCCCAGTACCTGGCATTGTCAAAGCCGGGGCGGCTGGGGGGCTGGAAGCTGAGTGTTTCCTCCAAGTGGGCGCAGCCGCCGCAAGGGACGAGCTCCCAGAGGTGCAGGCTGTTGTCGTCCAGGAGGGTCAGTAGGCGGCCCTGGCGGGAACAGAGAGCAAGACGGGGACTGGCCTGGCAGGGAGGGCACAGGGGCCTGGGAGAGGTTATGGGAAGGGCTGGTAGCTCACCTGGCCAGGCAAGAAGTGCATCTGGGTGACAGTGGCTGCATCCTGGTGCAGACCCGTGAACTCCACACCGGGTGCGCCATAGCTGAGGACAGCCGGTCAAGGGCAGACTTGAGCAGGCACCCCTCATCCCAGCTCCCGCCCCCTCCAGGACATTCCAGCCCCAGGGGCCAATGGTGCAAAACCCACCAGCTCCTGCAAGCTGGCACCCCTCACCTGTAAAATGGGCTAGTGAGTCCCCCCTCTCAGGGCTGGTGTTTCAAGCAAGTGAGAATAAAAACATGCCTTGTGCGCTCGGCCCAGGTCCGGGGCATAGCTGGAGGGCCCACTCCCGGCCTTGTAACATGTGTGCACGTACAAGCCCACGAGCCATGGCCGCAGGTTTGGCCAGAAGCACCTGGTCAGGACGGCACCAATGGAGGCTAGGAAGCTGGATGCTAGGAGAGCGAGCGGGTGTGGGGGCGGAGAGAGGGGCCAGGAAGCCTCTTCCCACAGCTTCCGGCCAAACTGCAGCTGTGGGCAAGGGAACCAAGCCCTGGCCCAGGGCAGATAGCCCAAGGCCTCCGCTGAGAGGAAGGCTCTGGCCTGCCCATTTTACAGATGGGCACACAGAGCCTTGGAGGTCAGTGGCCAGGCCAAGGAGTTGGATGTCAGAACCAGAGTCCTGGCAACTCTGAGGACCACGCTGGGCCAGGAGGCCTGAGGGGCCCTGGGGCTGGGTGAGGAGGTGGGGTCAGTGAGGCCTAATGTTGCCCCGGCAACAACCAAGGAGCCGTTGCTTGGGTTCCCTGCAGGAGCCTGGCAAGGCACACAGAGGAGGGGACAAAAGAGGGGGCAGGAGCAGCTGGGCAGGGGCCAGGGTTGCCAAGGAGACGTGGCTAGCCTTCTGGGGGGAGGGGCAGCTACAGTGACCAGGGCCGTGCTCTCCCGCCTCAGTTTCCCCAAGCCAGGAGTCTGGCTTGGGGGCTCTGGGAAAGGAAGGCAGGGAAGGAGAGGGCTCTTGCTGCCTCCTTGAGACAGCTTCTTGTCTGCATGTCAGGTTCTTTGTGAGAACAAACAGTTGTCAGCTGACTTATAGAGCCCACAAGGAGGGAGGGCAGCCCTGAGAGCCCACAGCCAGGCAGAGAGCCTGCTGTGGAGAGGCCATGGCCAGGCAAGAGCCCAAGGCCTGGGGGAGAACCCTTGGCCAGTCAATGGGCTGGGGTGGGGTGGCGGAAGACAGCAGCCAGCTAATAGGCAGTAAGGTTCTACCAGGCCTCCTCCGGCCCACAAGGTGCCTCAGGGCCCATCAGAAGGCCAGCCTACCTACTCTACTCCCCACAGTAGCTAAGAGGCTCAAGGGCCAGGCCACACACCCATTCTGGCACAGCCAGCACCTTAGCCCCACCCCATTCCCAGGCCCTGACTCAATTTCTACCAACCTGAGTCCCCAGAGAGGATACTAGTCCCAGAGGGGCACAGAGGTGGGGGTGGGCGCCACTCTCGAAGCAGCCTTAGCCACCAGCCAGGCCTGCCTGAGGGGCTGCACATCAAACGGTGGGTGGGATTTTCAGAGGCAGGCTAGAAGGCATTCAGCTGCAACCCCCCCAACCCCTCCCCTGCTTGCAGGAAAAATGCCTGCTTTGTGCAGCTCACACGGCCCGATTGTGCAGCCACCAGGGCCCAGGTGGGGCCACACTGTACTCTCCACGCCCTGCCTGGCACTGCCCCCAGCCCTCTGAACACACGCCTACACACTTGCACTCCTGTGCCACCCCCAGGTGCCTGCCCGCTGTGGACACCACCAGCTCCTAGCCCCCAGCTGCCCACAGTGGCTGTGGATGGCAATGTCACTTAGGTAGACACTAGGCAGGGATACCACCTCAGCCCTAAGTAAAAGCACCCTTACAGGCTCGGAGGCTGTGCCAGGCCCCCCACATGGTAAGCCCAGGTGCCAGATAGCGTCCAGCACCCCTTCCTCCAAGTTCCCTAGAGAGCCAGCCCAAGAGGCAGTGCAGGCCCCAGCCACTGGCAGCAGGCTCTGTGGCCCACTGTTGCAAAGGATACATCTTCACAGCTCCGGACCTGGTCCCGATGGCCATGATGCGCAGCTCAGGGTCGAAGGCCAGGGCGCTGGGCTGGTTAGGGAACCCATGCTCCACAGTCTGTGGGAAGGGAATTCGTTGGGACACACTCGGGCACCCCGACAGCCAGGCTGCACCATTCTCTGGGCAGGCCACAACACTCTTCACACAGTGGCGGCCGGTGCCAGGGACACCAGCTCTCTGTCCAGTTGGCCCTCTGCCTGCCTTCAGTGTGGGCCTGAACCCCCGCCCCTCCCTGCCCCCATGCATGCCAGCGTCTCTGACTCCACTGTGCAAAGGTGCCGGTGACACATGCTCCAGAGGAGTGGGCACCAAGAGGAGGCCTGCCTCCCACAGACTGGGCCTTCTCGGCCCCCACCCACCCCCGGGAAGAAGTCCTGCTCCCCAGCGTCCCACTTAAGAAGTCCAGGCAGCACCCCAAACACAGGACCCATATGGAACTGAGAGGTCAAGCCCCAACACCACGGTCAGCTGAGCACAGGCTCTGAATGCGCGCCGGGAGCTACTGCCCTCTACACCTGCCCCCCCAAGCCCAGAGACCAAGAGGGTGAGCCCAGAGAGAGGCAGGTTACAGCAAAACCCACTCCCAGACTTTGGTTCCCCACCCTGGAAACCAGACACCCCACTTCCCATCCTCCATCAGTGTTGGGAAGTCTTGGAGGACTGCTCGCTGGTCTAGCACAGTTCAAGACCACGCTCCACACCCCACCTTGGCGAGTCCAGAGCGGGGTCTTGAACGCTCGCACCTGAGATGCAACGCTGGAGGAGTGAAGAGAGGAGCCTCCTCTGCCGGAGACAAGAGCCAGATGTTGTCCCACAACCACCTCGTACCACCCCGACCAGAAAACACGAAGAAAAGAATTCAAACTCACAAAAAACGCCCAGACTTGTTGGTGATAGACTGGTGGGACCCTGGGGACCGTGGTTTTAGTTCCCCCTTTAAACCTGGCCCGGGGGAGTGGGACACCTTAAAGGCCTCTAACATGAACAGCAGCACGCGAGAGGCACGTGCTCTTCAGAAAAGCGACCAAGTCAGACCCAAAGGGCGGCATCTGCCCCAAACCAAGCCCAGACGAAGGGAAGGGGTGGGGAAGAAAGATGACGAGAAATGTGGGTCCTGCCGTTACGGCGGAGGAATGGCAGCTCATGTCACAAAACACACTGCCTATCAATTGTTTCACGAAAACTCATTTTTCATCTAAGCCACAATTTTAAAATTAAAAAAAAAAAATCAGCGGTGGGATTGTGGGAAGGTGGGGGAGTAGCTCGGAAGATGCCACCCACCTCAGCAGAGACCAGTCGCAGGAGGTCCGGCCTCTTCCCACCATGCTCTGGGTGCTCCTTCACCTGTGCCCTCCTCCCCAGGGGTGCCTACCCAGGCCCCTCAGGCCTGTGCTGACACCACTTAAGGGGCCACACTGCCCAAAAGGCACACACATTTCTCCCAGGCACTTGGCCTCCCTCCCTCGGCCAGGCCACATGCTCTCTGGGCCCCTGGATGAGTAGCAGTATGCTGTTTCCCCCATGTGGGCAGCAGGGGCAGGCAGGGGGCCCACCGGAGGGAAAAGCTGCCTACTGAGCAGGGGTAGCATCCCTCCCCCAGCAGCACTGACTTTGGGTCCAGCCCACAGGACACCTGGCAACTGTTCAGGGTTATGAGCCACCCCACCTTCACCCCATCGAGCTTCCCACACCACACATTCCTCCGACCTGACCAGATCCCAGGAGCCTCCGTGCTCCCCCTCCAATCTGCTCTCCACACAGAAGCCAGAGGGAGCCTGTGAAAACCTAGCTCCAACCTCATGCCCCCTTCCGCTAGGCCCGCCGGGGCTCCCACTGCCCTCAGACTGAGCCAGCGTCCTCCGCCTCCCACGCTCCCCTCTGGGCAGGCTTCAGCCATGGGGCTGCCAGGACTGTGCTCCCCTGCACCCCACCAGAACTCCTCAGGGAGCACTCCTTCCCAGCACTCAGGTCAAGAGCTCGAGAGGCAAGTCCTCAGAGATGCCTCCGGAAGGCAGTCGCGCTGTCACAGTGACCTCCGTCCATCCGCTCCCCACCTTCACCTGCTGTATTTTCACAGTCATTTGGCCGCAGCCCAACTTGTCACCATACACCAGGGCTCCTCGAGGAGACGGCGTACACAAGCCAAGCCCAAACCCACGGCTGCCGAGTGGGCTCAGCCTCAGAGACCCAAGAAGGCTCCAAAGGCTGTCAATCTCTAAGGGAGCAGACAGCCACCTTTCTCCTGTGGGGCAGCTGCGGGGTTTAAACCACTGTGTGTTCCGTCTCGTCGTGCAGGGCTCACCCACCAGCTTTTGTGAAACTGACGTACAATGGCCACCCGAAGACACATGGTGGAGTAGAGCAGGGACTGGAACTCAAGATTGCCAGCGTCCAAAGCCCACCCTCACCCCTGACCAGTCCCCCAACTTGGGACCCAGGGCCGCCTCCCTGGAGATCACCTGCCATCTTCTTTGTTGACCCAGCCCCTACGGCAAGGATGCCTCCTTCCCACCACTGCTGCCTACTCGCATTGGGACTCACCCTCCTCTGCAGGGAGGACTTGCTTTCTGCCGAGCCAGGGCCAGCAGGAGGAGGTAAACCTCCCCATTTGTCACAGGCCCCTATTCACACCCCACCTCACCAGCTAAGGAAGTCACACCCTGTCCCCCATTCCTCTCGCACTTCTTAGGACTCACCCTCATAGCCACCTCGGCATAAGGTGAGACATCTGAGAGTCCTCCCAAGCCCCCCTCCCGGGTCCCTGGTAAGTTCTCAGCTAGCAAGTCTGAGGGTCTCCCAAACCTCTTCCCCTGCCCCCAACACACACACACCACCCACACACCACCGTCACCTCGGGCCTCACAGAGAACCCATGCTCATCCTGGGGACAGACCAAGGACCTCCGCCTCTTAAGTCCAGCCCCCTAAAGCTTCCTCCAGGGCCAGGTCTCCTCCTAATGGGCACCTGGCACCAGCTCAGACCCACAGCACTCCAAAAAGAAACCCTGCCACTCAAGACTGATGTCAAATCGGACTGACAAACAGAAGCCAGGAAAGAAATCCGGCTCGCTCTGAGCAGAACCTCAACCTTCTCACCTGTCAAACAGGGGCAACAAGTCCACTCTTCAAGTGCAACGGGGTAAACGCGCGATCAGAACTCACGTTCCCAAGAGGGGTTCCCGGGCAGCAAGTGAGAGAGAGGGCAGGCTACCGCACATCAGTGCAGGGGGAAGGAGGGACTGAAGGAAGCCCCTTTCCCACTGCCCCTTCGGGCCACCCAGGGAAAGGAAGGAAGGAAGGAGCGGCCCTCACCACCACCTCCTCCTTGGCTCCAAGTGTTAGACGGCCCGCCGTGCGAGGCGGCGTGCCAGAGCCCACAGCTGGGCAGGAGGGATGCCATTTCACAGCAAAAGAAACTGAGGCCCCGGAAGGTGAAGTGCCGCTGGGTCCCCCGCCACCGCTCCCCAGGACTCGAGCAGGGCAGGCCCTGGGCTGGCGGTGGGAGGAGGAGGAGGAGAGCGGAACCTGGAAGGGATTTCCCAGCCCCACCCCCACGTCTGCTCCCACTCCCAGTTCTCCCCGCCCCGCCAGGGTGCGAAAGCAGCACCACCCCGGGCCCGGAGCGCCCCGAAGCTGGAAGAGGGCCCCGGGGAACGAGCGACGAGGAGGGGGCTGGAGGCGGGGTGAGTGTGCCCGCGCCCCGGCACAGACAGACGGGCAGAGACTCCGAGGTGCAGAGAGAGAGCCGGGAGCGAGAGGCAGAGGGATGGGGAAGACCCGGCCGGGGAAGCGGCGACACTGGGCAGCCTGACGGCCGCAGACAGGCCCGGACACTGAGGAGCGGCGGAGCCCCGCAGCCGGAGCCCGCCGAGGGTGGGGGGCGAGCGCGG